TTGACCCCTAACATGTTTTCCCTTTGCATCTTCATTTCTGATTTACTTAAACCTTACTTTAAATAATATAAAGTTTTAGAGAATGAAATGGGGGGGGGGGTCACAAGACATCTGGACCACCCTGTAGAGGACAGGCAGCCGTGAATGAGGAGGGCGGGGAGGGGAAGCTGGGAAGAGGGTGTCTTCACGATGACTCTTTAGGGGAGCGAGCGACAAGGTGGGAGGCTACAGGGCGGAGGGGAAGCAAACGACGGGGTTCACATACACCACGTGGCAGCGGAGTTATGGCGTTACGTAACACGTATTCATAACAACGCTTGATGAAAACCACATAGAAGGCCCACTGGTACGAACAAGTCTCCCTCTCTCTCTCTCTCTTACGAGCGAGATCTTGAACCGCAGCCAGAAGTCGAACCCCCGGTTGGCCGGTATCGCGGCACAGTCCGCAAACACCGCTGCCAACTTACGCCGATCCTAAACGTGGCGCACGGACTAACGCATGCAAGCAAACAGTATTGCTGCTGCTGCTATGGTCAAGGGAAGGGGACGGTTATTTTTAGTAACGCCAGTCTGGCAGGCGGCCGGTAAAAAAACTTTGGTGAAACCGAGCCGCGTGCTGGAACGCCGCGGCCAAATGGACCATAAGGCAATTGGGGAGCGCTAGGGGGCAGGGGGGAAACGCGTTAGAAGTGAGGGCCGCAGAGGTGCATCGGACCCACAACGCCGTTTCCTAAGACCCATCAGACGGGAGAGAATGGGGGAAAAGGGAATATTGGGAGGGGGCAGTCGACCATGTTTCAACTCTCAGAGCAAGAAATGTATCCACATTGAGCGCTGAATGAAGTTTCATGCCGCCGATGGGGGGGTTTCGGTAACCGGGCTGAGATAATCAACTCGCTACACACGAGAGCCCGGTTTTAGCCTTCCTCTTCTCCCTTGCCCATTCTCTTCAACTTCCCCCACCCCTCCACTCCACTCTCCTCACCCCAACTCACCCCTCGACCGTGGTCAATCACTCATAATCCCTCAGCATGCTCCTGCCACCTAAATAATTTCTTCATTTATACCGGTTTAAAAAAAATACGTTCAGCAAGCACCTTGATTGAAGATGTTTTCTTGTTCATGTTTTTGTTTTTGTTTGTTGCGGTTGCACCCGATTCAAGAACCGAATGGCTCACAGGGCTATACCAAATAAATGAAACTATGAAACTATGAACTATGAAGGCTGCCTGCAGTCGAACCCAGGATCTCAGCAGTGCCGGCAGTCCTCAGTGTGTATGTTCAGTATGTTGAACGTCTTTTTTGCACCATACATAGCCAACCGTGCTAACGGGGAGGCGCAATTCCGGCTCAGCGCTCTGACCTATAAACCTCTCTGTGCCACCTGGCCACATTTCTAACGTTTTAAACATGGCAGCGTTAATGACTTTCACACGCCCAACCCATCTGCCTCAATGCACACAATAAGCACACACCTCAACAGTTCTCTCCGCAAACTCATCACGGTTAATTACCCTTTATCCCAAGAATTGTAAACTTCTCCTTGCCGTGATGCTCCATGTGCACCGAATGAAACTGCACTGAGCGTTTAAAAAAAAATCCAATCACTTCCCGGTTAACTTTTAACGAGGACTTAAATTATTTGATCGTGTATCAGAGTAATTGCTTTTGAATGTCACCCTACCCCAGAGCTCACGTATATATCTTTCCTGAAAATACAACTTCGATTTTTTTTTCCTGATGCTGTTTTAGCGTTAATTCTTGTTGGAAGCCATGAAACCATTTTTTTATTTCTATTTTACCAGGTAAGGCCCACTGAGCTATGCAGCTCTTTTTCAGAAGCGACCTGGCCACCATTCATAGGTCAAAGAAGTGCCTTACGTGGAAACGTTCAGCAGACAATTACTCTAAACGCATGCGGCTTTGAATGCGACATTTTGCTAATAGTTGAAAATGTACGTTCATAAACACGCGTGTGCCACGTATTGCTTCGTGTGACAAAGATCTCCCTTGAAATAAACTTTTGGTCTCAAACGTTTAAAGACACATCTTACAGTAATTAAACGGAGCGATGGAATCATATCGCGAGTCGGCGCAGGTGTGAGGAGGCGGATCGCGAGAGGTTGCGGCCGCATGGGGAGGCCTTCCTCCACCAGCAGTGGATTGATTACGGCTCACGATAGCGACGAAACAAATCGCGCGCGCGCGCGGACGCGAGTCGCGGGAACGCGAGGCCCAGTTGTGTGAACCTTTGCTCTGTGGCTATGTGACGACCTTCACCTGTAGGGGTGGGGGGGGGCGGTGACCCATGGCCAGGCGGTAGCGCGTTCGCCGCTTTTTGCAGAGCTACAGAGGTTCGTGGCACAAATCCGGCAGGCTGCCCTTCCCTGGGCGCCACAGTGGTGAGATGTTAACTGCCTCGCCTAATATACAAACGATCGTGGGTTCGATCCCGACCCTGAAGCCTGTATATGAGTTTGCAAGTTCTCCCCGTGGCCGTGTGGCTTTTTCTCCTCCACATTTATAAACATGGGTTTAATCGAATATTTGACTGCTTTACATTTCCACACGATAATCCACTTCGTTGAGCTACCATTTGTGGCCAGGTCGTTTATGAAAAAGAGCTATATAGCTCAGTGGGCCTTGCCTGGTAAAATAAAAAAAAATTGTTCGTTTAATTGTTGTTTATCACTGCAGGTGAATTAACTGAAAAAATATGAGCTGTCTGCTTCGCCATGGACATTAAATATCCCATGATGTAATTCGAAAAGAGGAGGCCGTCGTGTGCTGGAGTAATACTCAAAACGTGTGTGCGAGTGGAGTTAATATATTTTCGCCCTTGCTCTGCAGTGTATGTTCTCCCCCAGTTCCCTGCATGAGAATATCCTGTAACCGATAGAGAACTAAAACTAAACTATTTTTATTCTACCAGATAAGACCCACAATGTTGTCTGAAGTCCAACCATATAGCCACACGTCGAGTGAATTCATAACCGCACAGAGCGAATTTTGGGTAGCGATAGGTTAGCCGCATATTACGCAAGATCGCACAAACCGAACCCGCAGAGCGAGGAAAACCTCTACTCGTACCCACTGAGGGTGGTGTGGAAAACCAGAGGCCAGCGGATGACTCACATGGGCCCCGCACTCTACCCCGTATCACATTTCCCTAAGAACAACATCATGGTGGGATTGGGTACAGAAGATGTAGTTGGGAGATATGAGGGAGACACAGGCTCCAGGAAGTGAGATGGGGCCCCTACAGGAGCCCAGAGAGGGGACTGAGGGAAGGTCACATGAGATAAGGTCATATCAGGAGAGGAGGTCATGGTGAGGTCAGCAGAGGCCAGACAAGTTGATCTTTTTCTCTCTATGAATGTAAGAGAAAGATGCCCATTGTATCTGTACAGAATCTTGAGATAGTTGCATTTACACACGATAAGGGGGGCCACAGTGGCGAGATGTTAACTACCTCGCCAGGTATACAGGAGGTCGTGGGTTCGATCCTGGCCCTGACGCCTGTTGTATAATTGGAGTTTGCTTATGTCTCTTCCCGTGGTCGTGTGTATTTTTCTCCGGGTCCTCCGAATCTCCCCTTCACATTTAAAAATGTTTGTTGAGACTATTTGGCCACTGCTATAAATTTCCACATGATAAGCCACTTCGTTGAGCTATCATTTGTGGCCAGGTCGCTTCTGCAAAAAGAAATACATAGCTCAATGGGCCTTACCTGATACAATGTAAATAGTCTATAGTTCTTTTTAGTTTATATAAAACCAACGTATTGTATGTGTACGCAGCTTATACGTGTGTGTATGTGTATAGTAGTGTATGAATTTGCGAGTGTGTGCGATCCCCCCCCCCCAACTCGGCCAAACCTTAATGCGCAAGGTCTCCAAATGTGTACTATCTGTGCGTGCAGTATTTGTATTGCGGAGGTCATTTGCAAATAATACTACCCTGGTCTGATTGAGTTCTCACGTGGCTCAACAAATAAACGTAAAAGTGTGGGAGCGGGGATGTGTGTCTGTCCCCTCCCTCACTGTCTGTCCTTCACGCGCCGGGTCTCCAATGTACATATTCTGATTCTGTATTGCACGTGCGTACTGTAAACGTGCATATGTGGGTGTGTGGTGCAGCAGTGGGAGAACGGTGGCGCAATCGGAGTTAGATTCCCGCCCACGACCAAAAGTAGTGGCGAATATTTGAATCGCTCCTGGGCCTCCCCTAGGTCGACTCAGCTTTATGCACCTGGTGCAGTGTGTAAACACATTATGGGCAGAGGCTGCCGGGCGTGGTGTTGGCCACCCACCCCCTCGTGTGCCGTCTAGCCTTCATAGATGCTCGCTAACAGCACTTGCCCCAACAGTCTGTTAAGGCTATAAAGGATGTGGTACTTATAGTTTTTAATGGTTGTAACCTGGTGGAAACCTAAATAGAGCAGGGGAAGAGAAATGCCACGGTGGCGAGATGTTAACTACCTCGCCTGGTATACAGGTCATAGGTTCGATCCTGACTCTTGTATATTGGGAGGTTGCATGTCTCTATCCGTTGTCGTGTGAATTGCCAATACTGTACTGAAAAAATGTACCTGCAAATTACTCAATTAGGATTATACACAGCAGCAGCGACATCGCGCCCTGCTGTAAAAAATCTAGCAGGACCCTACTGAAAAAGAAGCTTTCCTGGGTAAAACAAGCGAAACAATCATAACACAGGGGGTTGGGTGTCTTTGTGTATAAGAATCAGAATATTGATTTATACTGGAGGAATCCGATGAGCTATGAAGCTCTTTTTCACACACGTCCAGTTGGGTTAGTTCAGAACTTTACAACAATACAAAAACACACGACACGAGTGCCAAGTATAGGGTGGGGGGGGTAAATTGCAAAACAAACCACTTGAACAAAAAAAATATACAACCGAAACAAAACTTTTGTTTTCATCCAACGCGAGGCGCTCGAATTGTGTTGCGAGACACCCCCCCCCACCGCTCTCACCCGGTCCTTCATGCGCCAGGTCTGCGTGGCCGCTCGTGATCCCTCGATCTTCTCCGTGTGTCGCTTCTTGGCGAGCGCGAGCGGAATGTGCCAGTCTGGGAGTGCGGCAGCCGCAGCCTCTGGTCCCGGCACTTCGGCGTCCGCTGTCGACGCCGCCCCCGCAGCCACCGCCACGACCGCCGCCTCCTCCTGCTGCTCCTGTTGTTGCTGCTGCTGCTGTTGTTGCTGCTGTTGTTGTTGCTGCTGTTCGTCGTCCTCGCTGGGACCCAAGGAGACCCAGGAACCCCCGGAACGCTCCATCGCGAGCATTGGGGAAGGCGCGGAGATTAATGGAAGTTGCGGGTAGTGCAGCGGTGGCACGGAGGTTGGATTCGGGAGAACGCAGATAAGAGGTGGACGAAGAGAGGTGATGTCGAAAGAGGACGAGGTGAAGAGGTTTACTATCCGAGGGAATTGGAGGGAATCCTGGAAAGCGCGAGATTCCTCACGGTCCCAGTATTAGGGGGGCCTCGCTTGCCTCACCCCCCCCCCCCCAAGCGGTCCTAAGCCCCCGTCCTCGGGTTTGCGGGGTTCCTATCGCGCCCTCAAGCCCCCAGTCTCAATGTCTCCGCGTCCTAGTCCCGGGGGAATCCTGATCCCTGGTCCTTTAAAAGAGACAATAATTATCGGTTCCTCAGTTATGCAGGGGGGGGGGGGGAGGTCCTCGGAGTCTCAGCGTCGGGCTCCCCTACTCCTTCCTCGAGAGGTGGGGTGGTGGTGGGGTGGGGAGGTCTCGGGGTCTCGCGTTCCGCGACTCGAGGGGCTCCTCAGGGAGGTCTCCGGTGGAGGTTTTCACTCCGCGGTTTCTGTACCCCGATGGCCTTCGGGGAATCCACGGAGCCGTCGGTGTCCTGGGTTTCTTCGGGGGTCCTGAACTCGGGGGGGAGGGGAGGAGGAGGGGGGGTAGGAGAGGGTGGTTCCAGTCCCGCAGTTGTAAGGGGTCCCAGGGGTCTCGGGGGGATCTCGTGGGGGGGTCCCCTCAGTCTCCTCCCCGCGGGAGAGCCGCGCGGCCTCCACGACTCACGGGGGCCGCCATGATTGCTGTGTCCCGGCATGCACCTCGCGCGTGGGGGTAGGGGCGGGGGTGGCTGCGGGGGGGGGCGGAGCAACGCGGTGTGACGTCGGCACGACCGTTAGCTCATTAGCATACAAGCATAACATTAACATAATAGCATGCTATCTGTTAACGTTGTTAAAATATATTTACACACTTATCTCGTCTCGTTCAATATTTTACGCCCCTGGAGCGAGGCCCTGGGCAGCTCCGGATGAAAAATATTTGTAACAAAAGTGAACGATGATACGACTAAATATTGACTTACAGCCTTCGTCACGACAGGAATTCAAATTCTTGGGTCTTTCGGTAAAGTCACCGAGATAGGTTCAAAGAAAATAATACAAAAAAAACAACAGAAAACTACAACGCAAGCGGTCGTTGCGATCGAGATGATGATACGACTGACACGTCGCTGAGATCAACTTAAGACCGGTCCCCCCCGCCATAGTAACGTGGAATTCCCACCGCTGGCCTATGCGCGGGGCGAGTGAAAAGGAGATCTCAGAGGAGTTAACCGCCTCGTTTCTCCGGTGGATTCACAACAAGTCTCCAACTACGGTTTTTGTGTTTGAGACGTCAACGACCCTCTTGTCTTGATTTGAGGCTTTCGTGACTGCTTCTTTCGGTAAAGTCACGTGGGTAACACGGCAGATCTCTCGCCTACTTCAGCAGGTTGTTTTTCCTTGCTGTGATTGTCCCACCTGATGACGATTGCTTGTGTTGCGATCGAAACGTCGTGACACCGCCTCAGTTCAAATGACGACAGCCGTTAACTTACAATTAGGGGCCGTCCATAAATGACGTCACGCGCCTAGGTGGTGGTGGTGGGGGGGGGGGGTCAGACATTTGTGACGATGTGTGACGAGGGGGGCGGGGGGGGGGTTTGAGAAATGTGACGTCACATCAAAATGCGCAACTTTAAATAAATATAGACAACACGTTCTACTTAATTAAATATGCTTTTTAATAAATGTTTTCTCCTACATCATCAGAGTGCAGCGCCACATTAAATACGCACTACAATGACAATAGTTTAAAGCGATTTGAAGCAAATACGCACAACAATGACAATAGTTTAAAGCGATTTGAAGCATGTTTTATTTTTTGGGGGTGGGGGGCGGCAGAGCTTTGTGACGTCATATTTGAGGGGGGTCTGAATTTTTGTGACGCCGTGTGACAAGGGGGGGGGGGGGGTCAAAAATCGTCCAAAATCGCGTGACGTCATTTATGGACGGCCCCTTACACCGCGGTAATTAACGCGACATCCTGGTGAACATGAGCAGGTCCTGTCACCACCAGCCCGGCAGACGCATATGTTGCCGTAATTAACATATTATTACCATAATTAGCGTGTCATTTGCATGGCTGCAATTCGGTGGACGGACATCGTCAGTGACGCCTCTCGCACGTTATAAAATTAATGCGCATTTGGAATGATCACAGTTGAGATGACCGCTGATGTAATTTGGATGACGTTCAATGCGTTTTACCATTCAATATCTTGAAACTGGCAAAAAGGTTTCCGTAGATACTTATACTGTACCGTATACCAGCAGCATTGACATTTTAACGTGATCAGCGTGAGCATAATCCATCGTTTGACATCAGTATCATCACCATCGGAAGCATCAGCTGCATAGACATATGTAGGTGATTGACACAATTACACTGACATCACCACTGGCATGGCTAATGTGTTTTATTCATGAATAATTCCAACTTATTCATCATTCAAAATGAACACCGAGTAAAGGGAGGGAGGAGACGTGCCCCCCTACTCCCCCTCTTCCCTCCTTCCCTCCCTCCTTCCCTCCTTTTGCCTCCCTCGGATGCCCCCTCTTCTTTAGTTATCTGACCCTCTCAACCACCTTCCCTCCTCCCTCCCTCTCCCTTTCACCCTCCCCCCTTTTCTCCCTCCCTCCCTCCCTCCCCTCCCTGCCCAGATCTCCACGTCCACCCATCTCAGTTTCAGTTTATTTATTTTGGTATAGCCCTGTGAGCCATTCGGCTCTTGAATCGGGTGCAACCACAACAAACAAAAAACAAAAACACGAACAAGAAAAACATCTTAAAGTGACTATGTGACTGTGCAAACAGAAAATCCATGAAAAAAACAGCAAAATATTCCTGAAAAAAGCACCGTACACCAACGCTGTGTGCAAAAAATCCCAGTGGGATGCAAGTCAAACAACAACAACAAGAAAACTTAGATTAAGGCCATCAGTCTAACTCCGTACTACAACAAAACAAACATGTCCCAACCAAAAAATCACCAAAAAATAAAGCCATAATTGCAACGTAACAGTGATCACAGGGGCTCTCTCCCCCTCCCTTTCACCCTCCCCCTTTTCTCCCTTCCTCCCTTCTTCCCTTCCATCCCTGCCCACATCTCCACGTCCATCCCTCTCGCCCCCCCTCCCTCCTCTCTCCCCTCGCTTTTACCTTCCCCCCTTTTCTCCCTCCCTTATTCCCTTCCCTGCCCTCCCTGCCCGCCTCTCTCTACGTTCCTCCCTCCCCCCTCCCAACCCTCCCCCTCCTTTCTTCCCCTCCCTTTCACCTCCTCCTCCCCCCCATATTCTCCCTCCCTCCCTGCCCACCTCTGTACGTCCCTCCCTCCCCCTCTGACTCTCCCTCCCCACTTCTCTCCCTCCATCCGCATCCTTTCCCTGTCTCTCTCATTCCCGCCCTGCCCCCCTCCCTCCCTCCGCATCCCCCCCTTACCCACCCTGCCCCACCTCCCCCCCCCTATTTTCTCGCCACTCTTTTCTTTCTTCACCGATTCCCTTTTTCTGCACGCCCCCCCTCTCCCCCCCGAAGCGTGAGAGGGGGGTTAGCGAAGAGGCGGAGTGGAAGGTGGATGGGCACAGTGGGAGGGGGAGAGGGAAGGGGAAGGAGCGCGGGAGGAGCAGAGGAGAGGGGAGGACAGGGGAGGAGAGAGAGAGGGGAGGTTAGGGCGCGTCCGATACCGCCCAAAGCCTCCCCCCCCACCACACACCCCTCTCTATTTAAGCGCCTTTGGATTCGCGGCATCTGGCGGAGTGAGCGCGCGGGCGAAATCGCGTCCCCACCTGCACACGGATCCGCGCGGAGCTGCTACACACCTGCACACCTGCACGCGACTAACACCTCCTGCGCGCATCCTTACGCCCGCATTCACCTTGCACACCGCCTGGAGCCACGCGCACCTCTACCAACGCGCACGCGCCACCGTTCATAGATTTTGATACACCTGTCACGTCACTCATTCTGTCTCCGCTACATATCACCGCAGCGTGTGCGTGCATCTCTGTATCTCGCTCTGTACATCATCTCTGATATCTCCGAGATATATTGATATTATAATCTTTATATCGGCTGGCTAACTCTCTCTCTCTCTCTCGCTCCTTCCTCTCATCTCCTCTCTCATCTTGCGCTGCCCCCTTCCATCTCTCTGTCTCTCTCTCTCTCTCCATCTTTCATAATTTCATCTACTTGCCGTCTCTATCTCATCCTATATCCGTTGATCCATATCCCATATACGCCACCCGGCTCATCTCCCTGTGTTTCCCCTCATCTCTACCCCCTTTTTACCACTCAAATCTTCATCGCGTCTCATCCTCTCACCTTTATTTTCCCATCTCCTATTTCTTTCATCTCTCTCTCTCTTCCTCGGCCATCTCCCTCTGACTCAACATTATTATATCGCCGTCACTACTAATATCTCTCTCCCTCTAATCCCCATCTGTGCTGTAATCTCTCACGTAGCCTCTCTCATCTCCTCTGCCCTCTACTCCTCTCAATCCCTCCCCTATTCTAGTGTCCTCTCATCTCCATTTCTCTTCACAATCTCCCATCTCTCTCTCTACTTCAGTCTCTTTCGACTACCTCTAATCTGTCACCTCCACCTGCCCCTCCATTTCCTTGCATCCCATCATCTCCTGTCTCCTCTTTCTCAACATCTCCTAACCTGCTCCTCTTCCTCTCTCCATCTAAATCCATCGCCGAACCTCCTCACCCCCCCCCCCACCCCCCTGCGTCACCCCCATGGGAGGTCATCCCCGTGTCCCGCGCATCGCGGGCCCCTCCCGGGTCCTGCTCTGCCTCGTCTCTCTTGGGGTCACGGCGACCATGGGACCGGGGGACAGCCCAGGGGTGGCTTCCAAGGTCGCGTCGAGGGCAGCTGACCCCGCGCGCGTCCATCCTCAGCCTCAGCAGCAACCGCAGCGCTTCGTGTGCACCGCCATGCCCGTGGAGATGGACAACATCCCTTGTGCTGCTCCAACATCCTGGATGGTCTCCAACATTGGTACCTCCTCCCCGCCATCATCGTCATCATCATCATCATCGTCGTCATCATCCGCCATCGGCTCGCACCTCCGCGAGGTCGTGAGACAGCACAAGGAGACCATCTCTCGCCAGCGGGAAGCCATCAAGGAGCTCACGACCAAGTTGAGTCGCTGCGAGTCCGGAGGCCACAGGGGATCGGCGGGACTGCGCAAGGGCCAGCAGCAGCAGCAGCAGCAGGAGGAGGAGGCGACGGGGTTGGCGGGCAGCAGGCACGCGGAGCTTGAGGGAGCTGCGGGGATGAGGAATACCATGGGAGACCCTCCGCGAGATTCGACCGAGATGTTGGAGGAGCTGGGGAAGACCACACAGGCGCTCAAGGACAGGCTGGAGCACCTGGAGGTAGCTGCCTCCCTGTGTGAGACTGTGCGCGTGTGTGTGTGTGTGTGAACCTAGTCCGCGGGGAGCGGCAGCGCAGCGGTTAGTGCGCAGCGCTGTGAACCCGGCGGACCGAGTTCGATTCCTGCTCACGGCCAACACCGTGTGCAGTGCCGGTCCCACATAGGTGCTACTCGCTAGCAGCACTTGCCTCAACAGTCTGTTAAGGCTATTCGGGGGTCTTTGTCTTTGAATCTAGTCCTGGGCCTCCCTTAGGTTGGCTCAGCCTTTAATGAGCACAGTACCTGGTGCGGTGTGTAAGCATCAGCATTAGATAGACGAAGGCGGCCGGGCGTGGTGTTGGCCATCCACCCCCTCGTGTGTCGTGCCGGCCTTTATAGATGCTCCTCGCTAACAGTACTTGCCCCAACAGTCTGTTTGGGGTATCTTTGTCTCTGTCTTTGGTCGCGGCTACCTACTTGCTACCTGCAGGTGTGGCAAGTAGCCACGGCTGTATATAGGACATCAATCTTGAGATTCGTGGAGGCTTACCTGGCGAAAGCAGTGTTCTATTTACTAAACTAAAAAACTAAACTATGTTTTATTTTTCCAGGTAAGGCCCACTGAACTATAATGTAGCTGTTTTTCAGAAGCGACCTGGCCACAAATGATAGCTCAACGAAGTGGCTTATCATCACGTGGATATTCAACGCAGCCAGGGTCCAGAGGTCAGATCCTTGCCGGATAAGCTCATCATCATCATCATCCTTCACAGGTCGCATAAATAGAATTCAAAAGACAAGTGGCCATCATCATCACATGGATACACGGGGAGGGGCGTCATGAGCGTGTAGAACTTCCACCGCTGGCTCAGTGTTGATTTGAGCACAGAGAGAGAGAGAGAGACAGAGTTCGACTCTCTGGGCTGTTCCCCACTGATTAACGTATTGGCGGTACACCGTAGGTACACGTGGTTTAAATTAAATAAAAGCAACTTTTCGTCGCAATTTTTTTTTTTTGCAACCCCGGTCAGAAAATCTTGCGGGGTGGTGGTGTTTCAAAATCGGTTCTCGCGATATCGAAGCAGTCGAAAGACGCAATGGGCCGTTGAATATTTCGCTTTTAGAACCGTTTTATGAGGACCGCCGTGTCATGCTGCACCGGTGTACCGCCGCTACCTCCACAATGCGGGAGTGCAGCAGCCGCGTTCGTTACCCCTTCTCGCGTGCTGCCCTCCTACACATTCCGAGTTGCATCTTCGATATCTCCCTCCCAGTAGTCGTCGCTCGGTTGTCGCCCCGCGTCGTCCCCTTCAATTGTCGCTGTCTTGTCGCCGGTTGCCCTGCCCGAAGTTGCTGCTGTATTTCCCGCATCGTGGTCGCCCCGTTCACGCTGTCGAGATCATCTCGACCTCATCCTCCGCACGGTCACATCGCCCTGCTGTTGCCCAACTCGTCGGAATCGGCCGTGACGACGCTCGCCTCTTCTTTTTCAACTCGCCGTCATTACCCCGTTGTGTGCTTCATGCCTGTCGCTCCGTGGATGTGTCGACCTTATCTCGGGTCCTGATCCCTCCTCCCGCCTCGCCGATAGCTCTCCCCTGGTCGCTCCGTTGTCACCACTCGATTTGGTTATCTCCGGCTCTAAATCGCCGTGGATGATCCAGATAATTATCCGCCGTTTCATTGGGAGAAAAAAGATGTTTCCTCTGAAGTCCCTCCAATTAAAAATAATCGTCATTATTTTCGGCTCGCAGAGCACCGCCGCACTGCGTTCGCTCGCGCCACGTAGAGAGAGAGAGCGAGAGAGAGAACGGCTCGGAAGAGGGACGGCAGACGAGCGGGAAAGGTAGCCACGCGGTGAGCCGGTGCCAACGATTGCCCAAGCTCTGCGGTCCTCTATACGCTAAGGCGTTGCCGGCCAATGAACGAGTGCTTACAAGCGGGAGGAAAAGCGGAGCGCACGGTGAGGACACGCGCGTGCTAGGGAGGAAACACTCTATCCCATGCAGGCGGAACTAGTGGAGTCCGCATTATTGTTGTGTCGCCTTTGACTTCTCCTCCTCCTGGACGCGCCCACCCACGGGTGGAGGAAGGGGGAGTTTCACAGCACGCGTGCGGTGATCCACCAACCCTTGCCGCTGCCTCCACAGTGCGAGAGGGCAGCAGCCACGTTCGTTGCTGAAGTTCAGCGCTGGACAGCTCCGGCTGCAATGAGCCCCCAGTGCGGTATACTCGCTGCAGTCGGCACACGTTGGCTCTGCTCTCTTGTCACGGTAGAGCGGTGGGTTCTCAAACCTGGGGGTGCACGCAGCCCCTGGGGGTGCGAGATGCCCTTTCTGGGGGGCGCGAGACATGGCCAGATGTTGTTCCGAGAAAGTAAATCATCAAAACACAAATTAAGCACGGGGCACGAACGTACAACGTACGTTGTTTCATCAAACCTTACGTGTGTTTATAAACATTGTACGTATAACATTATACGATTGAGCACCAAAGGGGTGGCATGGCTGCAGTAAAGGTTAAGAACCGCTGCATAAGAGGAAGTGGTTCATCACTCACTAAATCGCTGTGTTATATAGACATCGATACATTTCTCATGGGATATGTGATTATTTACCGGCACTCTCGAACCTACAAAAGCAGCCCGCGCCCGACTCCCCGTGGACAGCTCCGTCTGCAGTGAACCCCTGCGAGGCCACTTCCGTAGCTTCGCGTGCTTCATATTCTTAGCTCTTTCGGTAAAGTCACGTTGAAGGGAAACAATAACATAATAAAATATATAAAACAATAAAAAATTCTCACGACGTTTCGACCATAACACAAACGGTCGTCATCAGGTGTGTCGGTTTGTATAAATTTATTTATTTATTTATTAACGGTGTATTTATTTGTAAAAACCGTCAGCGCCACGCGCAGCGATTTGTCAGTTTATTTAGAAGGACGAGTCCATCTATGTTCTGAAAAGAGGAGGGGGGAGACTAAAAATTAATGTATGCTGTCTGAAAGCCACTGTAAGCGTGAACAATCAATTAAGACCCGAAATGGTTTATCAAATCTTTCCAATGATTGCTAAGCCAGAATCCATCTTCTCGGTTGAAATTGTCTCTGTGCTTGTATATGTGGATAGCCTCATGAACGAATCTCTCATGGTAGCCAGATGGCTTACAAAGAACCTCTGTCTTGGAGAAGTCAATGTCATGTGAGCCCACTGAATTATAACAATGATCTGCCACGGCCGAGGTGTTGGTCCTACCGTGTTTAAGGTCTGCTTTGTGTTCACGAATGCGGTCCGAGACATGGCGTTTGGTTTCTCCAATGTAACTACTACCACAGAGGCAACTTAGTTTGTCGTGAATTTTTTTTTATTGTTTTATATATTTTATTATTTTATTGTTTCCCTTCAACGTGGTGACTTTACCGAAAGAGCTAAGAATATGAATTACTGCAGTCACGAAAGCTTTAAATCAAAATTCTTCGCGTGCTTGTTCATCTTGACATCACACTGTGTTCACATTGCGCTCACCCCCTTACTCTCTCTCTGCCCCCCCCCTTCCTCTCTGCCCCCCCTTCCTCTCTGCCCCCCCGCCCCGTTCCTCTCTGCCCGCCACCCCCCTCGTTCCTCTCGACCCCCCCCCCCCATTCCTTTATACTGCCCCCCCTTCCTCTCTGACCCCTCCCCCTCCGACCCGTTCCTCTCTACCCCCCATTCCCCTACCCTGCACCCCCCCCCCGCCCCGTTCCTTTCTGCCCCCCCCCCACCCAGACGCACGCGGCGCCGGGCCGCACCGATTGGGCGACGGCCGCGCGCGACGCCGTGCGCGAGCTGCTGGAGTCGCGCGCGCTCGAGCTCACGGGGAACCGCACTGCGCATGCGCGGATCGACAAAGCCCTCGGGGAGCTGAGACACCGGATTGCCGGCATCGAGAAGGGGGGGGGAGGGGCCGCGGGGGAGGGGCCGTGGGGGAGGGGTGGGGGGGCAGGGGGAGGGGTGGGGGGAGAGGTGGGGGGGGCAGTGAGAAGGGGGCGGAGGGGGTAGGGAGAGGGGGTTGGGGGTGGAGGGAGGCGTGGATTGATGGGGGAGTGGAGGGGGGAGGTTACGGGTTTAGGGGCCATCCATTGAATTTGTACGCATGGAGGGTGGGGGGGTTAACCCAAATGCGTAGCTTGCGTATGGGGGGGGGTCGACTGACAATGTCCGTACGCATAGAAAACGGGGGAGGGGGGTGAAGCCTGGATAATAATTTGTCTACATTGGCCATCACATTAGTTAGATAATCCGGCGGTGGACTGTATGCTTAAACACGTCAATATTATTAATCCTTGATCGTTTCTGCGTGGATTAAATATCGGCCGTTATATAGGATTCAGGGGGGGGGGGGGGTGGTGTAAAAAGTTCGCGTGCGTACAGGGAACGGGGTCGAGTTTCGACAGATTTTTTTTGCGTACCCACTAAATGGATGGCCCCGTACGTGGAGAGGTGAGAAGGGAGGAGGAGTGGAGATGTGGAGGGGTTCTGGGTGGAGGGGGGGGTGTGAATGGGGGAATGAAGAGGGCAGGAATTGAGCGGGGGGAGAGGAGTAGGAGGGATGGGCGTGTGAGGTGGTGGAGACGGCTTGAGGGGTTGAGTAGAGAGGGAGAGGAGAGGAGGAGGAGGGATCATTGAAGAGCGAGCATCGCAGACGGGTGATAGGAAAGATGAGAGATGTAAGGGGGCGAGCGAGGGAGCGAGCAAGCGAATCACGCCGCGTTTTAAATGATTTGTCACGCGGCTCGTGGCCGTCAGTGCGTAGTGAACGTCAACTCAGCCTGCACGCCCTTCCTCAGGGTTCGCAGCGGCTCCCCACTCCGCTCTGTCTCGTGCTGCAGTTGTGCAACGGCGCGCCACCAGTTTCTATCGCGTGTTATCCCCGCCATCTCGTGGTGGTAGGGGGTGGTGATGGGAATTAAATGGGGGGCACATCGAAGGGCCCCCGCAATTGTGCGCCACGGTGGCTGTGAGATGTTGACTACCTCGCCTGATCTACAGGAGGCCGTGGGTTCAATCCCGACCCTGGCGCATGCTCCATATTTGGAATGTGCACATTCTATCCCGTGGTCCTCCGTGGTCCTCCAACATTTGGAATCACGCGTTTAGAGTACTGCATTTGCCCCCCCGCTATAAATGTCCACGTGATGAAAAGCCAACTTCGTTGAGCTGTCACTCGTGATAGCCAGGTCGCTTCTGAAAAAAGAGCTGTATATCTCAGTGGGCCTTAGCTGGTAAAAAGAATTTAAAATAATAATAAAAAAACCTGTTACCCTGCCGCGGTGATTCTATCGACTCCAGTGAACCCGACCGACCCAGTCGACAGTGAACGCTTTGGGAGAAAGTTGTGAGAGCAACGTTGGCCTGCAACCGCTTGCCAATGTTGATCCGCGACATTGCGTGTTTACTTCGGCAGCGACCGTGCCCACAGTTAACCCGACCTAGTGACCCTGACCACGACCCCATAAAGCTAAAGACCCTCCCCTTTCCCCCGTGTAGCCTTTACAGTCTGGTTGGGGCAAGTGCTGTCAGCGAGCACCTATGAAGGCCGGCACGGCACACGAGGGGCTGGGTGGCCACCATCACGCCCGGCCGGCCTTTGTCTCCCGAGCGGCGATGTTTAACACATCGCGCCAGGTACTCATTTGAGGCTGAGTCGACCTAGAGGAGGCCCAGACAATCGTCACTTGGTGCTGCTGGCCACGAGCAGGGAATCGAACTCGGGCGGCCGGGTTTATGGCGCAGCGCGCTGACCGCTACCATCACCACCACCACCACCGCCGCTCCCAAACCCCGCGTGCAGGTGTCGACGTTGACGCGGCTGTGCCACCACCGCCGCCGTCGGACGCCTTCAAGGTGTCGTTCCCGCTGCGCACCGACTACATGGTGGCTCGGGCCGCCGCCTCGCTGCCCGAGATGCACGCGTTCAGCGCGAGCCTCTGGCTGCGCTCCTCGGCGTCGGGCGGCGTGGGCACGCCGCTCTCGTACGCCGTGCCGCGCCAGTCCAACGAAATCGTGCTTATGGAGTGGGGCCACAATCCCGTGGAGCTGCTCGTCAACGACAAGGTGCCAGAGAGAGACAGAGAGAGAGAGGGGGCGAGAGAGAGACAGAGGGCCTTCAAGGAGCAGTGGGCGCTGGAGGAGGCCGTGTGCTCGGTGGCAGATGACGGGAGAGCTCTGCATGCAGATCTGAGCTACCCGTTGGAGGCCGTTGGACTGCGAGGAGGGCTGGGTGCAGATGCAGCACTTGTCGTAGTTAAAAAAAGAAAGCATGAGAAAGAGCGAGAGAGTGAGCGAGAGAGAGAGAAAGCGACATGGAGTAGGAAGAGGGGGGGGGCAGAGAGGGGGGTAGGGAGAGAGGGAAGGGGTAAGGAGAGGAAAGCAGAGCGAGAAATGTTTTGTTAAATCTTTCATTTAAAGGGGGGGGGGGTACATAAAGCAAAGCATTAAAACACTAAATGATGAACAAAGCAAAGTGCCGACTACACCGAGCATCTTCTTGTTTCCTCTGATCGTAAAAAAAAGTTAGAGCGACGCGCGGTGGCCGGAATGGTTACGCGTGTTGCACGTCTTTCGCCACCCGTACGTGGCCAACCGCGCTCATCGTAGGTGCGGGGGAGGAAGGACAACAAACACTAATAGACGAAAAGCAGCTGTCAAGGAATGAGTTTTCAATCGAGGTGGCCGGAATTCTGGGGGTGGTTGGACGGATCGGCCGACAAAGGACGCAAAATAAATACCCCCCCTCTCCCCCGTGTAGCCTTTACTGTCTTTTGGGGCAAGTGCTGTGAGTGAGTAGCACTTATGAAGACCATGTTCACATGTGCTGATCCATGTTTACATGTGCTGATCCATGTTCACATGTGCTGATCCATGTTTACATGTGCTGATCCATGTTTACATGTGCTGATCCATGTTCACATGTGCTGATCCATGTTACCTGTGCTCCCACCCATCCACCCCACCCCTCCCCACCCCCTGCCCCTCCCCCTGTATATGGCCACCTACATAACCTCTGCCCCCCCCTCGCCCTCCGCCCCATCCCCCCCAAAATAAAAAGATGGCTCAGCTACCGCTGTCACTGAACGACGGGCGGTGGCACCACGTGGTGGTGACCTGGACGTCGCGGGACGGGGTGTGGGAGGCGTTCCAGGACGGCGCCCTGCGTGGCACGGGCGACGCCCTGGCGCCGTGGCACCCCATCACGCCCGGCGGGGTCCTCGTGCTGGGCCAGGAGCAGGTCAGGGGGCGTGGTCACCGGGTCACCGGGTCACCGGGTCAACGCCACGGTCATCGTTTTGTCCGTATTGCATTCGAAAGGAAGCTGGCAGGGCCAAGTGCCGGATTAAGCTAGTGCGGGGCCTTGTAGCATATGGTATGAAGGGGCCCTCAATAAATAAATACATGAATATTAAAACACACATTTTTGGTATTTGCACAGTGGAGTTAGAATTGTATTTTTTCATTTGCTATACAGCCAAATAATACGATAAATCGCTAACCTTAAGCACACAGTCGTTCATAGAAGTTGAAGGCAGTATAGTACTATAGTAATAGAGCAAAGTGCAGAATCACGGAACCGCAATTGATAGCTTGAAAGCATTTAGCGTGGGGGCCCTTGAAAGTGCGGGGTCCGTAGCTACTACAGATGTAGCAGCTACAGATGTAGCTACTTTTGCAACTCGGATAATCCGGCACTGGGTAGGGTATTACAGCTGGCTGTGTCTGCATGTGTCGAGTCGGGTGTCATCCATCCGGTGGTCGCCAGGGGTTGCTTGGGGCCCCACGCGAAGGGCCGCACTGAAGGCCACCGAGGGGCCGACAGTGGCACGCGAGGCTTGCAGTGAAGAACACTGTGCTAGAGTATTTATAGTATGCGAACAGACGCACACACAGAACAACTCGCCTATCGTGGCGCCGGATATAGCCGGTATGGTCTTGTGTCAGTACAAGGCCGGGTGGCTCGTCAGTAGAGCGAGCGGCTCGCGATCGGGAGGTTGAGAGTTAGAATCTTGGTTGGCGACTGACTGAGCTCATCACCCCTACAGGGTCGATAAAATAATTCACAGGCATCCCTTAATTTACGATCGTTCGGGGGGTGACGAAATTTTGCGTAAACGCAATTTGACAAATGTCGGACGCTTTTCCATTGACGGAACCGAATTTCCGCGCGAGCGAAATTTCACTCCGGCCACGTGCCGCGAGGATCATCAAACGAGAAGCCACACGGGAGGCTGCGTCAGCCGTCCGCGACAGCGTCACGGTGTCCCCGCTACACCGCAGGGGCGGGTAATCAAAATAACAAGAAGGGCAATATTTCAAGAGCCGCAATGCCACGTGATGAATGCGAGACGGTGGGTCCTTAATAAATGACGTGATGAAGCGGTTCCTTATAGAGCCGCATGCGGCTCCGACGCCACAGGTTGCCCACCCTTGCCCATGGTAAACTGGACTTCCGTGGTAAACTGGACTTCTGTGGTCAACTGGACTCCCATGGTGAACCAAATTTCCGTGGTAAACTGGACTTCCATGATAAATTGGACTACCATGCTAAATTGGATTTCCATGTTGGACTGGACTCCCATGGTATAATGGACTACCATGGTGAACTGAACTCCCATGGTGAACTGGACTTCCGTGGTAAACTGGACTTCCGTGGTCAACTGCACTCCCATGGTAAACTGGACTTCCATGGTGAACTGGACTTCTGTGGTAAACTGGACTCCCATGGTGAACCAAATTTCCGTGGTAAACTGGACTTCCGTGATAAACTGGACTACCATGCTAAATTGGATTTCCATGGTGGACTGGACTCCCATGGTATAATGGACTACCATGGTGAACTGAACTCCCATGGTGAACTGGATCCCCATGGTAAACTGGACTACCATTGTGACCTGCACTTCCGAGGTCAGGGGTCGGCAATCAAAACAACAAGAAGGGACTTTTATATTGTCGAGCCGCACTGCGGCCCTGAGAGAGCCGCATGCAGCTCCGGTAGACGCAGGTTGCCCTGCACCCTGCTGCAGTGCAACAGTAAACGCCTCCGCATCACCGTTCAAGCCATTCCAACTTGCACCTCTTTTTCTGGCGAGTTCCCTGAAAAGGTTAATTATTTTGGCTTTGAATTAATGATTCAATCGTATTAAGATTCATGTAAAATCTTGACTTAAAGCTTTCGGGACTGCAGGAATTCATATTCATTGGGTCTTTCGGTAAAGTCACGTAGAACCTTTTTTTTTACAAAGATTCATGTTCTTTATTATTATACAGTTAATAATGATATTGGGGTATATTTTTAGGATATTAGTACTGTAGAATTGGCATGACTGTCTGAAACACACTCCTCACTTTCATTATTCAATTAATGGAAAAATCAGTTCCTATGTACGACATTTCGTTTAACGCATTTTTTTTTTAAAGAACGGATCCATTTCGTAAATCGAGGCATACCCGTACCACTTTGTGTGGAAGTCAGACAACTCCGTTTACAATATAGACTCACTTCCCCTGTCATAGGAACGAGGAATCTCCACCCACTGGCTCTGCAAACAGGCTTATGCACTCTTCCAACTCTGTACACGGTTTGGAGGGAGAGGGGGAAAAATACGAGTTCTAAACTTCCTCTTCAGCTGCGATTGATTTTCGGAGCGAATGAGATGATCAAGGAACAGGGGGGGGGGAGGAGGTTAAGGGTCACGGGTTCAGGGCCAAGGTTCAGGGTGGGGTTGGTAGTCGGGGGGGGGGGGAGTGGGAACGACGGTGGCATCAGCAATGAGGCGAGGAGCTTGAAGTTGCTATCCTCTCAGCGTCCGGAACTCTCTTTCAAGTCACATCAAGAATGCAGTTGACGTAATGGAACATTTTAAATCGAATATTTTTTTTAAAGCGTGATTGATTGGGCAATGGCTTTGAGTTTTTGCTTCGACTGTAAAGCACCCCGAGATGTGCGTTCTGCATGGATAAAATAGAATTCCTTTGTATTCATATCTGTTCAGACCTTGTGTAGCATGTAGATATCTCACTGACAGGAGGTCACTGGGCGGCCCCACGTGTTTTGGGTTGACCGACCGAGATGACTGGCAGACGAACCAACTTTTCTCCCCACTATGCCAACTGTCTGCGTTTTAGCCGCCCGGCGCTCCGCTCGTTGTTGTGAGCGTCGCTCCTCCGCCCCCCCGTTGTTGCTGGAGGGCGACTGCCTCCAACTGCCCAGCAGCAGCAGCAGCGTCCTTCACGAACCCTGCCACTTGCACACACACGCGCTCACAGGCCCCACGATGGGACATCTGTGAAAAAGAGCTTCATAGCTCATCGGATTTCTCCCGGTTAAACATTCTGATTCTGTTTCCTGACCCCCCTCCCCTTCCCCCGCTGCCCACATCCGCCACAGGACAAGGTGGGCGGTCGCTTCGACGCGATGCAGGCCTTTGTCGGCGAGTTGGCCGACCTACAGATCTGGAACCGCGTCCTCTCGGCCTCCGAGGTGGCCTCCCTGGCCGGCTGCTCCGGCGACCTACGCGGGAACGTCCTGGCCTGGAGCCACGAGTCCATCGAGGTCCAGGGCGGCGCCACCAAGTGGCCGCTCGAGACGTGTGGCGAGAGGATCAACTCGTGATGGCGGTGGCCCGTCGTCGAGATCGTCGTCATCGTCGTTGTCGTCATCGTCGCCATCGAGATCGTCGTCGTCATCAACGTTGTCGTCGAGATCATCATCATCATCGTCGTCGTCGAGATCGTCGTCGTCATCAACGTCGTCGTGGAGATCGTCGTCATCAACGTCGTCGTCGAGATCGTCGTCATCAACGTCGTCGTCGAGATCGTCGTCGAGATCGTCGTCATGATCGTCGTCATTGAGATCGTCGTCGTCATGAACGTCGTCATCGAGATTGTCGTCGTCATCAACGTCGTCGTCGAGCTCGTCATCATCATTGTCACCGCCGAGATCGTCATCATCGTCATCATCGAGATCGTTGGGATCATCGTCGTCATCATCATCATCATCATTGTCGCGGTCATGGACAGTGTCATTATTGTCGTGGGAATCCTAAAGGTCACCATCATCGTCGTCATTGGCTGTTTTATTGACAGATGTTTATATGCTACATGTACGGTGTTAAGTTTCGAATGTAATTCATCTCGCATTGATTTTTGCTGCCATTCGAATCGACTAAACACGCCCCAGCGTCGTGTACTTTGTAACCATGGATACGCCACGCATTGCCAATCAATGCCGCTGTGCGTGTACATTTAATGAAAGCCGGCCTCTGTACGAAGCAACAAACTCGTAACGTCAATCGAATTCGCAAATTTCCCCCCATATGTAATTGTAAACGTAGCCAGTTCAATCATGGTCGCGGTCTCTCAATCACCGCCATCATCATCATGAATGTAAGCATGTCTTGCTGAGGTCAAGTCGTGGATGCACCTAAACTTTATTAAATAAAATTGTGATACGACAGGGATTATGTTGTTGGGTTCTCCACGTTGTGAAGTATTGAGTAGCCCACGTATGTAATATTATCAAAATCTCGTTTTTTCGTCCACGCAAAATACCTCGATCTCATCCTAAGACCTATGCTCTCCCTTCCTGATGCCGAGAGGATGGTGCATGCCTTTATTTCATCTCGGTCGGATTACCGTAATGCCTTGCTTGCTGGCGTTTCTAAAAGTGTTTTAAATAGATTACAATACATTCAAAACTCTGCTGCCAAGGATTTAACCAGATCCATATCGTATGACCGTATTACTCAGATTCTCTCGTTCCTGCACTGGCGCACTGCAAAGTGCAGATATCGTCTTCAAGATTATGCTTCTCGCGTTCAAGGCCTTGCTTGGGCTGGCTCCCAAAATATCTCGCCGATCTGCTCAAGTTTTATACAGCGCTGCGAAAACTTACATCAGCTGATTCTGGTCCAGTCGTCATTCCAAGGACACGGAGACACAGAGTCTCCTGCAGCCAGGGCACCGCGATTGTGGGATCCCCTTCCTCGATCCATTCGGTATTCCGAGTCTGTGATACTTTTTAAATCACCATCTTAAAAGTCACCTGTTTCTACTGCAGCCTTTCCCCGGAACTGAAGATGAGCAAAACAATGTTGTTGTTGTTGTCTGTTTGGATTACTCTGCAATTATTATCATTCGCTTTTATCATAGTTATTTATTTTATTGGAATTTCCAGAGCAGTCATCGATACTGTTATCAGCTTCCTATTTCGCTTAAAATATATCCACACTTGCGAGTGTAGTTTTATTTTTATGGACAGCGCCTTGAGACACTGCGATATGAAAGGGGCTTTATAAAATAGAGGTTATTATTATTATCACGTTTGCCAGTATTATCATAGTCTCCATCGCCATCACCACCACCAACCAGCATCTGTCAGCCCACCTCCTTACCACATCTTCTCCAATGACACCCTCCAATCCATTACTTCTCTCTCCCATCTCTTCAGCATCTGAAAGCAGCACGGGGGGAGGGGGGAGGCGTTGTCCGTTTCTATTCCCGCCCAAAAAAGCGATGAAAAACCGTAAATCGTCCCCATCGCCGCCGACGCATGAACCGGGGCCCCAAGTGAAAACATTCGGCCTCCCCGCTCACGCGCAGCAAGGGCGTCGCTTGCCCTCGTTGGAAGCCCTGAGCCGCGTGTGACAATTCCACATTGCTATATACGCCGGCGTTCAGACTACTATTCACTGGACAAGTGCTGTGGACTAACCCCCCCCCGCCCCCCCCCCCAAAAAAAATCGGTTGCTACTTATGGTTTGTCGACCATCCCGCAGGCAGAATAATGTCGATTTCGCCGATGATCGTTATAACGATGATGATGACGACGACGATGCCAGTGATGTGAGCCCACGATGAATGTGCCCTACTTACAGGAGTGACTGTGGGGTTATTGCCCGACACGTGGCGATTGTCGTTGTTATGTAACTGTCCTGTTTAATGTTGTTATTATTTCGCACGAGCTTGTGCTGGAGGTTTAAATAAAGCGACCTTTGTCTTGACCCCCCACCCCTCTCCGAGGGCAAGCTCTGACTGGATCGGTTGTCACCGGTGCGAGGGGTTAATTACAAGCCGAGAGAAACCCTTGAGATGATGGGTCTCTCCTTCACGGGACACTGGCTCAAAATGTGGAGGGAGCAAAAAAAACCCAGAGGACACGGAGAAAAAAAAATCCACGCGACCACGGGGAGGACACTGTAAACTCGAAATATACAGCAGGCGTCGGGGTACAACCCGCACCCTCCTGTATACCAGGCGGGGGTGGTTAACATCTCACCACCGTGGTGCCCAATCTGATCCCACCTGTCGTCCCGAGCACGCCGACGTCCAGCCAACGTCCTGCCAACGTCCCACCAGCGGTGCCAACGTCGCCCAACATTGCAGAAACGCATGGCGAGCGGTGTCGCGGTGGTTGGAGCATTGCGCTCTGAACCCGACGATGTCGGTTCGATTTCCAGCGGCGGACGACGGCGGACGACACCGACGAGTGCGATCTGAACCATACCAGGCCACCCGTTTCCGCCAAACGACACGCACTGACCAGCGCGGTGAAGTATGGTTGAGCACCGCCCTAGAATTTACACGACGCGGGGAGGTCTTCGTCCAGCGGTAGATCACAGCGATGCTCCACCGTACAATGGGTGTCCACAAACCAAAGCCCATGCGGATGAAATGTTGACATCTTTAGTCCGTTGCCAGTAAAAAAAAAAAACGTTTTTAACTATTTCAAGTCAGGAATAAATAATATGCCGCCCTTTGTCAACCCACTGCTGACAGAAGGCTTCCCCGCCACGCCGTACCAGTAATGGGTGCTTTGTTTGACCATACTTCACCACGCCGGTGAGCGCGCTTTACGAAAGTCCAGCGGAGCACGAAATGATATCGCCTTCGGCATCGCTTGCGGTTTTTTGTTGTTTTGTTTGGAACACGGGGGGTGCCGTTACGCAAAAAGCGCCACGTACGCGCGCAGAACTTTGGAAGGTGCGCGCGTACCGCAGTCTGTAATCTGCTTACATTTAATCAGCCTGGGCTCTCGTTTCGCCGCGAGCTGACTGCGCGGGTTTCCTCCAAAAACGCTCTCCGACGGCGCGACTATTATGCCGCAAATGGATTTGGGGGGATATGTAAGTCGACCCCTACTCCCCACGCCGCCCCCGCCCTCCACGGCGAGAGATTTAATTCGACTCAATGTCACTCACACTTTGTTGTTAAACCGGCTTACTGCGGGCGGCTGTACACGTGATGCCCCCCCCACCCCCACCACTGCATTTACACCGCACGTGGATCAGGCTCGCCACGAACGGCCTCGGCTCATCGCACCCCACCCGGCAGACGAGGACGTTCGACTACGGGCGGCAGGGCGACGGTGGTGGCAACGCTCGTAGCAACGACGACAATAAGGGCCTGGGTTCGAGTCCCGAACTCGGGCACCTTTCTCTGCGCGGTTTGTACGCGTCCTCTCCCTCTGTTCTGCAAAAGGGTTTGCTCCAGGTTCTCCGGTTTCCTCCCAGAGTTAAACAAAATAATAATAATCATAGAATGTAGTTGGTGTTGGCCAAACATACCATGGCTGTAAAAAAAACAACCTGCAATTTATTCAATTGGGAGTCGCGCAAACACGGCAGCACCATAGCCCCCATACTGCATAAACTTCAGAATATCAGAATATTTATTTATACTGGAGGAATCCGATGAGCTATGAAGCTCTTTTTTAACAGCTGTCCAGTAACTTGCCAAGACCATCCAGAAAAAAACTCACGAGACTCGGTGAGGCTTTCTTGGGTAAACGAGAGAGAAAAAAATAACGATTAGTGAATAGTTTTTGTAAAAAGCTTTATCCAGGATTGCCCGAATCTCAAGACTTTTATCCACGAAGATTCCCCTACATTTGGATGTTTTACCGAGTCCCTTTTTAAACGAAATGTTTCACAAGTACCGAAACAAAGCTGGGGTACCGGAAATAAAACTCACCATGCATACAAAGGGAACCACAGTGGTCAGACGTTCACTACTTCGCTTGGTATACAGGAAGTCGTGGGTTCGATCCCTACCCTGATACCTGCTGTATATTTGGAGTTTGCATGCTTTTCTCCCCGTGGTCGTGGATTTTTTCTCCGGGTCGTCCGGTTTTCCCCTCCTAATTCATAATCAACATTACGCGTATAGAGTATTTGGCTTCTATAAATTCCCACATAAGCTGCTTCGTTGCGCTATCATTTGTGATAACCAGGTCGTTGCTGAAAAAATAGCTATATAGCTCAGTGAGCCTTACCTGGTAAAATAAAAAATAGTTAATCGTTTTTATAACACTCAAAGGTGCGTAGGCAGCTTCCTGAACCCACTTTCTGCACTACCATTGGTGGGTCACCAAGAGATTTGGGAGTTTCACAAATCTCTTGGTGACCCACCAACCCTTGCCTCCCAAGGCGCTGTATCGCAGGCGTGCACCATCACGCCCGGGTTCATGATGGCCACCGTTTACCAGCGGCAGTACAGATGGGGTCTTTAACATCAATTTGTGACTTTGTGGCGTGCTTTGCTAATCCCACTTAGAACACCAGCGTAGACGTCGTTAAAAGATAGATGTCAAATGTTAGATTTCACCATCATTTATTCCCTTGATTTTAAAATTTGCCCATGATAAAAAAAAAATTCCACCATAACAGTTGTACACAAGTGAAGACACAAATTCGTTACACAACAGCGAGCATAGTAACTGGAAGCACAATTGTGGCAGTAATGCGACGAGGTGGTGACGGCTTATTCACGATTCAAATCGCGAGTGAAACCTGGTAAACAGGTGCCATCTAGGGAGGCACTACCACAACTGCACTGACGATTTCTACTCGGGGGTGAAACCAACCACAGCGTGGCTTAACTCGTGCTAAATTTAGAACGGCCACGTGTTGCGGCATAAACGCTTCTCTGCAAGGCAAGGTGTTTATCGCGATGCTAAATGCGGTAATGAAGGTATTCATATCTCGTAATTACATTTTGGGTTCGGCCGCTTGAACAAATTATCTTTGCGATAGCGCTCGGGCAATGGCCCCTAACAGCACAGAGTGGCCAGATGGGGTAGAGTGACATCGTCTATTTTAATCTTCTTTCCTAAGGCGTTGACGCAGACCAAACATTCTAACCGTCGCACGGTGTACAAGGGATTTAAATGAGCCAATTGTTATCGTGTCAGCTCACCGCCAAAAAAAGCTTAACGGCAAATTCTCACAACCAAATTTGGCGATCACATTCGGTTGTAACCCCAACATTCGATAAACGAATCGTAACATTGGCTGCTAAATCCTACACGCTAAGACGACAATGTCCTTCGTAGCGTCGCCCCGTTTACGGAATTTTCTAGCTCTATCCGAGGCGGAGAATCTCACGCTTGCGTTCATCTCCTCGCGTATTGACTTCGTGAAATGAATTCATGACTCCGTGGCCTTCTTTAACAAAACATTGGCACGTAAAAAAAGATTGACTGCAGAATGCAAACGAGACTCCTACTACTCACTCGTCCTCCACACACAAGATTGTTCACCACCAGACCCGACCGTTTCGTCTCAACTACCATCGCACTTGCAGGTCCACAACACTCTCATCTATTGTAACATTGTTAGTGCCATATTCTTGGTTCTTTCGGTAAAGTCACGTAGAAGGGAAATAATACAATAAAAAATCAAACAATATAATAAAGTAATAAAAAATAATACGATAAAATAGTTTTATTTTTTTATTTTATTATTTCCTTTCTATGTGACTTTACCGAAAGAACCAAGAATATGAATCCCTGCAGTCACGAAAGCTTTAAATCGAAATTTATCGTGCCGTTTGTTTCCTGGCCGTTGTGAAGTTTTGGGCCTTTAGGTCACTAGGCTCAGCAACTGTGCAAAGTGTCTCTTTCTACTTCTTACCTCCCATCATCTCTTTCCCCACCAAATGTTCTCATATTAACCTTTACTCAATTCAGGACACGTGTCAACTCTTATAGCCATTACACATTTCAACAGCGCTGTTTTGTTGCTGGCCATTCGGCGTTTCAGGCCTTCGGTCCTGTGCTCGACAACCACAATGTAAACAAAAAATATTTGGATTGAGTGCAAGATTGCTGTGAGTGATGGTCTTCAAGATTCTTCATGGGTTGGTCCCTGAGCACCGGGGTACCTCAACCCCCCACATCACTCTCCCAAGCCCTGCACGTGCCCTCCACTCCGCAAATAGCGATCCCCTGGTGAGTCCACGGGGAAATCTGCAAACTATGACGGGAGGGGGCAGTCGCTCCTTCTTGGCTGCTGCTCCCCTGATCTGGAACCCGTCGCCACTTGAATTTCATGCACTGCCACTCTTCAGGTATAGCCTGAATACTTCATTAGTTCTTTAAAAAGATCAAGACGTCATCGAGGCCAAAGCCGTTGAAGCTACCACCACCATCAGCTCCTCCCCAACACATCCTACCCTCCGCCAGATCCCAACAGCTGCTGCACAGGAGGCACGCGGCAAACCTCCAAGATCTGCTCTGACAGCAGTAGTCTCAGCAGATGGGTGGCACGGTGGTGAGATGTTAACTACTTCGCCTGGCATACTGAAGCTCGTGATCTCGATCCCGACCCAGACGCCCATGTTCTTCCCGTGGTCGCGTGGATTTTTCTCCGGGTCCTCCGATTTTTATCCTCCGCATTTATAAACGTACGTTTAAAGAGTATTTGGCTGCTATAAATGTCCACATGATAGGCCACTTTCTTTTGAGCTATCATTTGTGATAGCCAGGTCGCTTCTGAAAGAGAGCTACATAGCTCAGTGGGCCCTTACCTGGTAAAATAAACAATAAGTTCAGTCGTTTAGTTTAGACTCACACCATCTGCTCTTAGGTCTTCCCCTTGATCACCTATACGTAAATAATTTTACCACCACCAACGTCACTACATTGTTACATCTCTCACCACCACCACTACTAGAACCGCTATAAGCGTGACCGGCATCACCACCAGGAGTGGCCAGGTGTATGAAGCCCCTGCAGCGGCCGTTTCCATAACTTTTATATTGAAACTTGGTGGGGGGGGGCGATGTTCACTTATTTTCTATATGCAACCAATAATCACCAGCTTCACCCCAATCATCCCCACCAGCCCCAGATCATCGACCGAGTGACCGCTGGTCCCCACAGAGATGGACAGACATTTATTCAAAATACTAATAACTGCCTGGGGAAATGTCATGAGATGCAAATGATCAATCAACTGTCTGTGTAATGTAAATACCAACTACAAATGTAATGGAATTATATAATTATATTTCACACTCTTCATATCTTGGCTGTCCCAAAGTGTTCCCCAATCGTCCTTGGGTTCATTCCAATTGTCCCTGGATATTCCCTGGGTTACTCTTGGGTTATCCCTACGTTGTCCTTCGGTTCTCTCTGGCTTATCCCTGGGCTAGTACCTGGGTTATCCCTGGTTCATCTCCGGGGTTAGGCCATATTCAGCTGAGAGAAAAGAGCTCCTCCAGCTGCCTGCGTGTGTCGTCTGGAGACGTCACCGTGTGTCCGATCGTCCGCTCATCGTGAAAGATCTCGTGGTCGTTTCCACCCTGGTGGCGAGAGAGAGAGGAGATGTCGCGGTTGCCAATTACTATAATTACAAATTGTTAATAATAAAAAAACGTCATCATCAGCCCTTCGTCAGTCCGCTGTTGGGACGAAGGTGTTGGCGGTGGTTGCCGTCTGACCCGTGCGTCGCCCCGCTGGTGTGTGCGGGGATCGGTGAAGGGTGGATGAGAGGGATGGGAGGGATGAAGGTTTGGTAGGTGGGTGGAAAGGAGTTGAGGTGGGTGCGTGGGTGGGAGGGAGGAAGTGTCTGTCGGTGGGTGGATGGGATAAAGGAAGGTGTATTGGTGGGGGGGGGGGGGGGGTGGAGAGACATGGAGGATATAGAGTGTGTCTGGGTATGTGAGTGAGTGAGAGGGCAGGACATTGTGTGAAAAGAGGAGAGGGTGGGTGCATTGGGAGGGAGAGATGGAGATAATAGGGTGGTGCAATGGAAGGGACGGAGAGGATAGGGTATGTAGTGTGAGAAGAGAGAGGTGCAGTGAGAGGGAGGGAGGGGATAGGCGGTGCAGTGCAAGGAGAGGGAGGGCCCGCAGTGGCGCGCGTTCTGACCGCCAAGGTTTTGTCTCCGAAGAAGTGCACGGTGCGGAGGCGGTCTGGAGCCAGGAGGCCGAGGCAGAAGCGCTTGTCCCATCCCTCAGGGAACACGTCAAAGCTGATCTGTCCTCCTGGGGGGAGGGAAAGAGGAGGCAAGATGTGAGGAGCGAGTGAGAGGGAGGGAGAGAAGGGGGACTATGGAAGAGTGTGAGAATGGGGAGGACTAAACAGTGGGCGAGGAGGAGAGGAAAAGAGAGAGTGGAGAACATCGGGGAAAAAAAGATGGGGATAGAGGAGAGACGATAGGGAGATGAGTGGAGAGAGATGAGGAGGGAGGGCGGGAGGGAGGGAATAGGAAAGTAATGAGTACGTAAATGAGAGAAAATAGTTCTAAACCCCAGTTTCTCGACATGCTGGAGCCAGGTTTTGTATGGCTGGCAGTGCCACATTCATACTTGATGATCCATCCATTGGTCTGAAATCTCCCAGTCATTCCCTGTGCAAAAGTGGCTCCAGGTTCCGGTAGTTATTTTTTAAGTCCGTGGTAGGTATCAACCCGTCCACTACTCACCTATCGAGAACACCAGACCCTTCCCGGCAAACTTTTCCCGCAAGTCTTCAACGAACTTTTGTCGAATATTTTCTTTCTAGAATAAAATGTAAAAAACCCACAACAAAGCCAAAAACATCAGGTGGAAATTGAAAACACTCCATCCAATTGAATTTGACATATTTTTGGTCACGAGCATTGATGTTTTATCAATAATGAAACGGTTTGTGCACGAGTTTCACTTAAATCGCATTCGTCACTGCAACATTTTAATGTTTACGAAAAATGGTAACGCGTCAATTTTTCACAGCCGGCGGCTAATCTCTGCGCCGTTTTCGCGGTTGCGCGGCTGAGAATCCCTCAACAGCTTTCCCCACGCACGACTGCGGGCATCTTCACGATCTGAATCGTACGATTTTATCCCGAAGACACCCAGCCAAACCTTAACCCTGTTAAACCCACCGGGATTTAGCTTTACGTCAATTGACCCAAGGCTCATTACCCACTGAGACTGATTGCCGAAGATTATCGCCAACATCTCATTGCTTTCATTGCTCAACTTAAACAGGTTACAGGGCGCGCGGGCTTTGTGTTGATGCCGAACTCGGGTGCCCTCACGGAAAACGAAATAGCAAAAAAAAACAATTGGTGTTTTTTTCCGTGTGAGAACGTCTCCGTGTGATGCACCTCGAGTTGCTGTACACAGATGGGGGAGCCGTGATTCAATGACGCAGATTCGTCTTTCTGTCAAAACCCATTCAAGCGTCCCTGTGAAGCATCCAGAGATGCTTATAGTATTAAGGCGCAATATAGATATAATTATTATTACAGGTGAGCTCCTCTTATCCGCTGTCCTATTACCCACGACTCATATTATCTGCGATAGCTGTAGGGCCCGTATTATTTTGGATGATTTAGACATTTTTAACTGAGGTTCCATCATCTCCCATTCGCGGAACTGGCCAATGAGCACATTTTCACCAACATGCCAGGAAACATTTGCCAAGGCGTGCATCGGGCACTTAAGGCTTCTTTTCCTCGTGCATACAAGTCGGGAGAAACCGCGCACACGCGAGAATTACGTGACGCTTTCCACCATGCATTGGTGGATCGGAAGTATTTAATTAGCACCACGGATTCCAATGGATGTGTTCCCAGATTTGTTTTGCCAATCATTCGATCGATTTGATCGGTCATCTTTCGGGGAAGTACTGAGTACCAACAAAAGTTTATATTTCAGGTTCACTGCAACTGCAGCAGAGAGATGCGGCAGTTGGATTGCAAGTCCAGAGCTCTAACCAGCAGCCTCTGGGGGAGTAATTAATTCTGTAATCAAATAGCCCAGCTCTACTTTCAACCGTTAGTAATGCTGTGCTTGATTACACAGGAAAGTCTCACCGAGTCTCAAGACTCGATGAGCTCTTTATTGGACGGGGCAATATTGCTTTGTGTAAGCACAATGGAGTAAATTGCAGCTAAATATTCATCACTGGGTATTGAACCCGGAGGAAAACCCATGGAGAAAAGGGGGATAAACATACAAATTACAAGTCTCACATTAACTCACACAAACATCCCCCATATACCCTTAACAGACTGTTGGGGCAAGTGCTGTTAGCGAGCATCTATGAAGGCCGGTATGCCACACGAGGGGGTGGGTGGCCAGCACCACGCCCGGCCGCCTTTTTCTCCCCAGCTGCAATGTTTACACACTGCACCAGGACCGGTTCAGATAATCGTCACTGGTGTTGGACGTGAACGGGAACCGAACTTGGGTCGCTGGATTCGTAGCGCAGCGCGCTAACCGCTACACTCACTCACACACTCACTGACATACACACCCAATCACTCACACTCCCGCACTCTCTGCACAACAGGGGGAGGAGCGTACAAAATCCACGCGAACCCAGACACTTCTTGCCATGAGACGCGAGTGTTCGCCACCGTGCCAACCCTGCCGCCCGTAATTTAACATCCCCGTCTGCCCGGTGGGTCGTGCGATGACAGTGTGCGCGTGATGATCCGAGGCCATCGGTGGCGAGGCGAGGATGAAACCTGGGTCCCCCCCCCCCGCCCCCCGTAGGCCAGGGCGCTGCGCACGCGAGCAAGCGCACCTTGTCAAGCTCGTAGAATTCGAGTCGCTCCTCCTGGGTGCAGCTTCTCCCCACAGGACACACGTTGAGCATCCCATTCCGGAACTCGATGAACGTTCCCCTTGCGTCCGCACCGACGCGAAGCACAGCAGACGCACGGACACCGTGGCTCCCGTTAACCAGCAGAAATCAACGCCCACGACTCTCAATTCGCAAATTATTTAATATTGCTGCGACTGCTGCATTGGCTCTGGTGCACAAGCACATATAGTAGATCATCGATTATCCGGCGCGCGATTATGCGGCTTCCAACATAATCCGACAGTCCCGGGCCGATCCGGCGAACCTCCATCACAGCTGCTGGAGTTGGATTCAGACTCTGAATAACCACTTCCAATTCTACACCCCCTATCATCACGCCATGCAGGGTCCTGAGATTGTAGTGTGAAGTACAGTACAGTAAATTCAGTAACTTTTAAAGTAGGTTATTTTTAAAAATCTATTTTTATGTTCATGCTAATTTCATACTGTAAACTAATTTTAAACACTAAAAAAAACATATAAACAACACCTAGAAACGTGTTAAGGAATGAGCCATTAAAAAAATTACTCACAAATTACTCAATTGAGATTATGCATAGCAACTATCACCCACTACTGCAAAACTACTTCACACCGATTCTGTGAAAAACAGCAGCGCCTTCCTACACGAGAGCCTTGCGCTATAGGAATGGCATGGATTGTGAAGGTACTAGTCAATTGACGATGTAACGATTTGATTTCTAACGGTCGTGTAAACCAAACCACTAAACTATTTTTATTTTACCATGTAAGGCCCACTGAGCTATATAGATATTTTTCAGAAGTGACCTGGCCACAAATGATAGCTCAATGAAGTGGCTTATCGTGTAGAAATGTAGTGCAGCCAAATACTCTAAACGCACGTTGAATCTAAATGTGGAGAGAAAAACTAGAGGAACCGGAGAAAAATCCACGCGACCCAGAGAAACGAACATACAGTGAGGGAAAAAAGTATTTGATCCCCTGCTGATTTTGTACGTTTGCCCACTGACAAACAAATGATCAGTCTATAATTTTAATGGTAGGTTTATTTGAACAGTGAGAGACAGAATAACATGTTATAAATTGATTTGCATTTTAATGAGGGAAATAAGTATTTGACCCCCTCTCAATCAGAAAGATTTCTGGCTCCCAGGTGTCTTTTATACAGGTAACGAGCTGAGATTAGGAGCACACTCTTAAAGGGAGTGCTCCTAATCTCAGCTTGTTACCTGTATAGAAGACACCTGTCCACAGAAGCAATCCAATCAATCAGATTCCAAACTCTCCACCATGGCCAAGACCAAAGAGCTCTCCAAGGATGTCAGGGACAAGATTGTAGACCTACACAAGGCTGGAATGGGCTACAAGACCATTGCCAAGCAGCTTGGTGAGAAGGTGACAACAGTTGGTGCGATTATTCGCAAATGGAAGAAACACAAAAGAACTGTCAATCTCCCTTGGCCTGGGGCTCCATGTATCTCATCTCGTGGAGTTGCAATGATCATGGGAACGGTGAGGAATCAGCCCAGAACTGCACGGGAGGATCTTGTCAATGATCTCAAGGCAGCTGGAACCACAGTCACCAAGAAAACAATTGGTAACACACTATGCCGTGAAGGACTGAAATCCTGCAGCACCCGCAAGGTCCCCCTGCTCAAGAAAGGACATATACATGCCCGTCTGAAGTTTGCCAATGAACATCTGAATGATTCAGGGGACAACTGGGTGAAAGTGTTGTGGTCAGATGAGACCAAAATGGAGCTCTTTGGCATCAACTCAACTCGCCCTGTTTGGAGGAGGAGGAATGCTGCCTATGACCCCAAGAACACCATCCCCACCGTCAAGATTTGCAAAGAGGAGTGGCACAAAATCCCTCCTGAGATGTGTGCAAACCTGGTGGCCAACTACAAGAAACGTCTGACCTCTGTGATTGCCAACAAGGGTTTTGCCACCAAATACTAAGTCATGTTTTGCAGAGGGGTCAAATACTTATTTCCCTCATTAAAATGCAAATCAATTTATAACATTTTTGACATGCGTTTTTCTGGATTTTTGTTGTTGTTATTCTGTCTTTCACTGTTCAAATAAACCTACCATTAAAATTATAGACTGATCATTTGTTTGTCAGTGGGCAAATGTACAAAATCAGCAGGGGATCAAATACTTTTTTCCCTCACTGTATGTATCCATGCTGAACTTCTTTCGCACCATACGTAGCCAAACCATGCTAATCACAGATGCGGGGGAAGGACAACAAACTAAGAAAAAAATTGGTTCGAAAGATGAAATGAGTTTTCAATTTAGATTTAAAAGTGCATAGCTCCCAGAGCTTCTTAATATCGAAAGGCAAAGCAGAGCATTCCAGATGGCCACAAAAGCGCATCTGAAAGCACGCGATGCAGTGAACGTCTTTGTTACGATGGCCAGCCAAAATCCGCAATGAGGATGACCGGAATTTGCATAATGGTTTATGTTCCTTGATGAGATTGGCAAGGTATTGAAGTTTGTGGCAAAAATTAACCGGCCAAACACTCTAAATGGGTGATATTGATTCTAAATGTGGAGGGGAAAAACCGGAGGACACGGAGAAAAATCCACGCCACCCGGAAAAAACGCTGAGGATCAGAGGCTCGGGGGAGGTTATGGTGGCGAGGGGGGGCCCCCGAACCTCTTGCGAGGCAGGCGGATATGGCTCATGTAGGCGAGGCAGTAGTTGATGAATTCCTGGAGGATCTCCTCACCCAGGTGATTCTGGATGCTCTGAGCGGAGATGGGGAACACGCGGGGGGGTGGGGGGGCGAGAAGACTCGGTCAGCACCGCGATGGACCGTCGCCGCTATGAGGGGCACGATACGTCAACTAATGATATCAAATTAAATCTCACGCTCACAATAAGCGAACAGGATCACTTGCAGAGGTACAAGTGCAGCGCTGCAATTTCTTGCCCGTGCCTCTGGAGAACTCTATGGGAGCAAGCTCTAGAGGGCCCCTCCCGAGGACATTTTGGCGGACAAATGTCTAAGACGAGGTTGTAACAAGAGGATCTGTCCTCCCATCATGCCTTGTATAACCGTCACATCACCATACCACACGCATAATGCATTTCAGTTACGGGGGTTGCGTAACCATACTTCACCACGGTGGCCAGTATGGCTGATGGCAGCACAGCCATGAGCGATTTAGATATCACTCACGACTGAGGTTAGCCGTGGCCGGGAATGCAACGCAGGGTCGCCAGTTTCACGGTGCAGCGAGCTAACCACTTCTCGACCACTATAAATTGACACAACAAAGACATGTTTCACTATAAAATAACATTATAGACTTTAAAAAACCTATACAACTATACATTTTGAAAGATCCACACCACTATAATCGATAGAATTATGCCACCACAGACACTACAGATTCGTACCATTATAGCTACGACAGCTTTGCTCCATGATAGTTTCTGTTGTGGAATCTACACCCGCCACCAGGACAAAAACGCCGGCATCTCTGAACCACACCACAAGCCTGAATGGTGACGATTCATCGGGTTGTGGAACGGCAGAGTCGCTACATATTTGGTAAAAAAAAAAGTTTACATTTGCTGGTCGTGGCGATGGTGGTCGTGGTGGGTGTCAGACACGGCAATACCTGTTGGGCAAAGAGGCGACCATCCTTGTATGCCACCAGACCATTCTCCGCAAACACGTAGTCAAACTGGTTCACCACTGCCAAGCGAGAAGGTAAAAGAGGCTGAGGGTTAGTCACAAATGCGAAGATCCCCCTGTAGCCAATTAGGCTGTTGGGGACAAGTGCTTTTAGCGAGCAAAGACACAGCAGTGGATATGCACAAACTCGCTCTCACCATAATCCTCACTACCTCCCAGCTGCTCGATGATCTTGCAAAAGTCGGAGCCACCCACAACCCCGATTCGAACTTGTCTCCTCAGCCTCTGCAGCAAATCCTGCATGTCCGGAGAAATTTTCTGCGAAGAAAGGTAGGGTGGGTAGGGAAGGAGATGGGCAGGATCAGGAGGGACAGAAGGATTTGTTCATGATCAAAACATGTTTTGAGTCCTTTGTCAATCCACTGCTGGATAAAGGCCTCTCCGACACCGTGTTGGGGGTGGTTTGACCATACTGCACCACGCTGGTCAGTGCAGGTTGGCGGCGGTAGGGACCAGGACCAGTTAAGACATCACTGGCCACTGACATTGCCCATTGCCGTGAAACTTAACTCAAGCCGCCAGATTAATTACACAGAGTGCAGCCTCTGCCCCATTGGATGTAGACTCTTGTTGTACGTGGTGTTTAGTGTGAGCTGGTATCTCTGAGGGGGGGGGGGGGGCAGGCAGGGGGCTCATGACAGCCATGTCACAGACAAAGTGTCAACAATGTACAGAACCTGGGTACAAATCCTGGAGCTGGGTGTTTTGTTCTCTCTCTCTGAGGTTCATAATGGCTGTGCAAGAAACAACGAGCCAGCATCTCCGAGATTATATGTTCAAGCCTGGCTGACTCACTCTCTCTCACTTGTGCCACGTCCAGTTTTGTCAATCCACTGCTGGATAAAGGCAGTGCGGGGGTCACGGGGAGTTGTTTCACCATAGCTTATACCACACCGGTCAGTGTGGGTTGAAGGTGGAAGCATGGATGCAAAAGCATAGAAGTACAACAATGTATATTGCTGCTCTGCCCACCGCATGGTAGTCGATAATACCTGCTTAATTAATGATTGGTCTTTTCACGTGCAATTTTATTGAGGGGCTGTGCGTTGCCTTGGTGTGTTCTGGGACTGTTCTTGCTGTTGTTTTGCGGCCTTACCTAACGTTGGGAACTGGTGTACCAATGCAACCTACATACTTTTATCTCCATAAGGTCTTTGGGTTAGATCACGTAAATATAAATGTGCCGTTAACCCCGCCACCACCCGAAACAACCAATTCGTAAAGTTTGTCACGTAAACAAAACATTCCAATTCGCTTCTGGTTCAGCACACCGGTGTATTGGAGAGTAAACCCACATTTACCACTCGAGCACCACGGTGGCTAGAAGATGTTAACTACCTCGCCTGGTATACAGGAGGTCGTGGGTTCGATTCCAAACCCCGACACCACAGCGGCTATGAGATATTAACTACCTCGCCTGGTACGCAGGAGGTCGTGAGTTCGATCCCAGACCCTGACACCACGGTGGCTAGAATGTTAACGACCTCGTGTGGTATGAAGGTCGTGGGTTCGAACCCAGACCCTGACACCACGGTGGCTAGGAGATGCTGACTACCTCGGCTTGTACGCAGGAGGTTCGTGGGTTCGAACCCTGACCCTGACACCACGGTGGCTAGGAGATGCTGACTACCTCGCCTTGTACGCTGGAGGTCGTGGGTTCGAACCCAGACCCTGACACCATGGTGGCAAGGAGATGTTAACCACCTCGCCTGGTACGCAGGAGGTCGTGGGTTCGAACCCAGACCCTGACACCATGGTGGCAAGGATATGCTGACTACCTCGCCTGGTATGCAGGATGGCGTTGTTTCGAAGCCAGACCCTGACCTCTGCCTCCTGCTGTATATTTGGAGTTTGCACGTCTCTCTCTCTCTATCCGGGTCCTCCCGGTTCGCCCCCCACCCCTCCACATTTAGAATCACGGCGTTCAGAGACTACTTACAGCCTTATGGCGACTGCTACAAACGTCTACGCAACAAGCCAACGTTCAGCTATCGTCGCGGACAAAGGGGCCGTCCATAAATGACGTCACGCGATTTTTGGCGATTTTTGACCCCCCCCCCCCACCTTGTCACACGGCGTCACAAAAAGTCAGACCTCCCCCTTAAATATGACGTCACAAAGCTCTGCCCCACCACAAAAGAATAAAACATGCTTCAAATCGCTTTAAACTATTGCCATTGTAGTGCGTATTTAATGTGGCGCTGCACTCTGATGTTGTAGGAGAAAACATTTATTGAAAAGTCTATTTAATTAAGTGGAACGTGTTGTCTATATTTATTTAAAGTTGCGCATTTTGATGTGACGTCACATTTCTCAAACCCCGTCCCCCCCTCGTCACGAATGTCTAACCCCCCCCATAGGTGCGTGACGTCATTTATGAACGGCCCCATAGCCAGGAATCGCTTCTGACACGCAAAAACCCCCAAGGAGCCACGGGTATATTTATTTATATCTCAGCGGGCGTCTCCTCACCTGGTGAAAAAAAAAACAACGAAAAAAGTTTCAGACCGCAGCTGTTTTCGGTTTATTATTTGAGGCCGAGTCGACTTAGGGGAGGCGCGGGGGGTGGCGTTGCGTCCGCGGACCGCCGCAGCCTCACCTGGCGCGCCGGCGTCAGGGTGCCGTCCACGTCGAAGAGGCACAGCACGGACTCGTCCCGGGCCCCAGCCATGGCCTCTTGCTATCGCCGCCGCCGCCACCACCGCCAACCCTCCTCCTCGCTCACGGAGTCTCAATCCGCCGGCAGCGGCGGCAGCGGCGGGGGAGGTTCGGCGCTCACGGACACGGCCGGTAGTCACCCCTCGTAACCAACCCCAACAAGTTACACGTCGCGCGACGTCATTCACACACACGCATATTACAGTCGTCGTGTGACGTCTTCCGCTTGCGGATTACGTCATCTTGATACTAATGACGCAATCTTACTACGAATGACGCCGACTTACGACTGACGCCGTCTTCCCACTGACGCCGTCTTACTACTAAATGACGTCATCCTGAAACCAGTCTCATATTCTTTGGTTCTTTCGGTAAAGTCACGTAGAATGAGAATAAAATAATAAATTCACACAATAAAATTCTCACGTTTCGGCCAGTCTCATAGTTCCATTTATTTGGTATAGCCCTGTGAGCCATTCGGCTCTTGAATCGGGTGCAACCGCAACAAAAACACAAAAACATGAACAAGAAAACATCTTAGTGTGACTGTGCAAACAGAAAATCCAGGAAAAAACATCTAAATATTCCTGAAATAGCACCGTACACTAACGCCGTGTGCAAAAATCCCAATTCCTCGCATTACAAGCTCGTATAGGCAAAGATGATCGCACTCAGGATGGTATTTGAAACAATAAAACTCTTTAATAATAACCAACGAAAAACGCGAACGGCCACACTCACTCCCGACTCACACCACAGTTCCACCTCACTCTCCCTAGTTTTTCTACACTACACGATTAATTACGTCATATTATGGCTAATTGCGTCATCTTACCACTTAAGTACATGACGTTCTCGCGCGTTAACGATGGCCGGCGTCGGTGACGTCACTCGCAGACTAAAACTTGCGGCGACTCCCAAATCCCCAATATAAACTTTACACTGGAGGAATCCGATGAGCTGTAAAGCTCCTTTTCCGATAGATGTCCAGAAGAGGCCCGTTTCGTTAAACGTAACCGTTTGAGGTCGAAACCGCATGTAATGACGTCATTGACTAGTGGCGCTACTTACGTGACGTCACGTAACATAATTTTAACGTGTCGTCACTTGCAATGTTTCACGTCACTTTGTGGTCTTGTTATGAAATTGGGATATTGCCCGAAACGTCGCCTATTTTTTCCCTTTAAAGCTACGCACAGTGTTACGGACGAACGTGTTGAGTTCGTATTTGCCCTTCGAGGTGAGTTCCTCATGAGGCACATTCAGAATAAACATGCATTTAGATTATTTTGCTGCTGTAACTTTCCACACGATAAGCCACTTTCTTGAGCCATCTTGTGTGGCCCAGGTGGCTTCTAAAAAATAAGTTAATACCTCAGTGGGTATTACCCGATAAGACAATATATAGTTTGGTTTTATTTTTATATTTCTTGAAGCGATTTACCTTTCCTATACTATGCACTTCTGTCGTGTTTTATATTTTATATAGTTTTTTTATATATATAGTTTGCAGTCTAAATAAATCAATTCTGATGGTGCCTGCTAATGTGGCAGCCACCTTGCTAAGGGGCGGCGGCGGGGGGGGGGGCAGCAATCCATTTACAGTTCCCGCGTTGCCATGGAGACCCCACCCCCCCCATCTCGTTGGTGTGGGGGGGGGCCTCGCTTTACCCCCCTGACCAAGATGGCCACGTGGCCGCTCCACGTCCGACCTCTGCTTCGGCGACTCCTCCGCGCCGCCAACTCGGCCGGGCGCCCTGGCGCCCCCCTGGTCGCGGAGCTCCCGACGCTGTCGAGGTACGGAGAGAGAGAGAGAGGGGGGCACGGACCTCAGCACGCACCGAGCGCGTCGCCATCTCTGACCCACCACCACCACCAACCTCCTCCTCCATTCGTGAACGCGGCAGCGGGCATCAACCACACGGAAAGGGACTGCGGCAAACATCGTCGCGGGGTTCTTCGTCTTTAAGGGGAGGGGGTCGGCGCGGTAAGGGTCTGCGGTAAACGGACTTGATTATTTAACACGAAACGGAAAACTTTTATTTTATTTTACCAGGTAACATTGTATTTCTTCTTTGGTTCTTTCGGTAAAGTCACGTAGAATGAGAATAAAATAATAAAATAACACAACAACATTCTCACGACGTTTCGGCCACAACGCAAGCGGCCGTCTTCTGAGAATTTTATTCTGTTATTTTATTATTTTATTCTCATTCTACGTGACTTTACCGAAAGAACCAAAGAAGATGAATCATTGCAGTCACGAAAGCTTTAAATCGAAACATTGTATTTGTTTTAACCAGGTAAGGGCCCGTAATAATTTCACGTTGCGTAACCCCTTGACATAGCAAGTGGTGGGGCGCACACACGTGACAAACTCAACACGTTCGTCAATAACGTTGGGGCCTTAACTGCAAAATACATTCAGTAATAGGCAATGGAATTTCTTTCACGTAGCAACATTGGACGAAAGTTGTTTTTGTTGCTAATTCGTGCTTTGGTTAAAGCTTGAACAGCTTGTGATTGTGTTACGTGAACGTTAACTCGTAAATTCGCATGGATGTCTCAACCCGTATGGGTTTGTACCCCGTATTTTTGTACAGGGAAATTTACTTTTCAGGTCCACGCGGCGTACAGCCGCGTCAATACGGGCAACATTTGTTTTAATCTATTTGTTTTAATCTATTTGTTTGTGTTTCTCCCTTGTGATGGTGACTTTGTAGGGTGAGCGTTGAGATTTATAAGGGGCACGGGGTGACCAATAAGGTCTGAATTGGTCCGTAATAAGAAAGGGCCCCTGAAGATTTGAAGATTTCGTGACCGCAGGAACCCATACACTTTGGTTCTTTCGGTAAAGTCACGGAGGTAGAAACAATAATAGATAACGACGTTTCGCAACACAAGCCCCCCCCCCCACCTCTCTCTCTATACCACCTGAAGACGGTCGCTTGTGTTGCGAAACGTCGTGATCTATTATCGTTATTTTTATACCTACGTGACTTTACCGAATGAACCAAAGAATAAAGAAAGGGCACTGATAAGTGGTTGGACTTGTTTGTTTTGTTGGGCATGTTTGTTTTGTTGTAGTACGGAGTTAGACTGATGGCCTTAATCTAAGTTTTCTTGTGGTTGTTGTTGTTTGACTTGCATCTCACTGGGATTTTTTTGCACACAGCGTTGGTGTACGGTGCTTTTTTCAGGAATATTTGTGCCGGGTTTTTTTCCATGGATTTTCTGTTTGCACAGTCACTTTAAGATGTTTTTCTTGTTCGTGTTTTTTGTTTTTTTTGTTTGTTGTGGTTGCACCCGATTCAAGAGCCGAATGGCTCACAGGGCTATACCAAAATAAACTGAACTGACAAGTTTGTATTCGTTAACAAAGCTTCCTCTTGACCTGGTTAATGGTTTACACAACTCGGTTGTGATTGGTTGACACAACTCGGTTGTGATTGGTCCCTTTTGGTTGACGTGGCCTGTTCTGATTTGGCCGATGGTTCGACAAAAATTGCAAATTGACACAATTCTGGTCTCTTGAGTTTTTCGACCACATTGTTTAAACGAATAAACTTGACCTAACACCGGAGCTCGTGATTGGTAAATATTGTGCTTTATTGATCGAGGTTTCGCCACAGCTTGTTTATTTGGTCAATGGTTGACATGATGTACATTTGTGAATGGTTGACACAACTTGGCCGTGAATGGTTAATGGTTTACACAACTCGGTTGTGAATGGTTGACACAACTCGGTTGTGATTGGTCCCTTTTGGTTGACGTGGCCTGTTCTGATTTGGCTGATGGTTCGACAAAAAAATTGCAAATGACACAATTCTGGTCTCTTTGAGTTTCCACCACATCGTTTAAACGAATGAACTTGACCTGACACCGGAGCTCATGATTAGTCAATATTGTGCTTTATTGGTCAACTTGTAGTGACAAAGCGCTGACTGTTGGACAGCAACTGCAGGTGGGCACTTAGCGCACACGCCACTGAGCATATACGCGGGTGTTCCGGCAGGGCGGAGGAACTGGGGCAAGGGTCATGATAGACCTCGTGTGGAAGCCCCTGGAACCCTTTTAAGAGGGTTCGATAAGGGAGGCGCGACTAGTGCGGAGCCAAGCCACGCCGAGGGGAATATAAGCAGCGGAGAGCGAGAGCTCTGTTGCTACCGGTTTGGGGATTGGACTCGTCTCGTCGTCGCTGTCACCCTCGTCGCCCTCGTCGCTGTCGCCTTTGCCCGATTATGGCGCGGCCGGACAGTGGTTGGCTGTCCCGGTCGACGCCGTCGGTGCAACGCGGACAGGGTCGTGTCTGGGACGGGACGCGTGGCAGCGGGGTTGTGTGTGAAAGAGAGAGAGGGGGGCCCGAGTGGTGGCATGAGCTCGGCAACAACAACGAATAAGGGGGGCAGAGCGGTGCCTCCTGCGACCATCTCGTCTCTGGCTGACTGTGTGTGCGTCGCACGCCACCCGCACGCACAGACGACAGTACAAATGTTTACTGCAGATCTTCTCTCCTCCCCTGCAGGTGGCATGGACTGCGTAGAAACAACAGTAGCATCATTACCTGCGCAAGTCTCAGCAGTCGTGGGTTCAATGCTGGACGACCTCTTACGACAGCGCGGGGCTCTGCCACTCACGACCCGGCGTCAAGGTCATAATCGGAGTCAAATGTGGACTCCCCCAAATTCTTCCACTGCTAACATTCAAATGATCCAGAATGCTGCCAACAGAACCCTCAATCACGCCCCGTAAATGAGATCCACATCACTCCAATTCTCAAAACTTTCCACTGGCTCCCGATCGGTAACCGGACCTTCAGGATTCTCCACAGACTTGTCTTCCCTGCCTACCTCTCCTATTCGCACGCTCTTCAGCTCCACCAACCAAGGCCTTCCGTTAAAACTCTCGGTCACTCTCCCCCCCCTGAATAGGAGGTCACTGCTGATGCTGTGCTGGCCGTGAGGTTTGAGAATCCCCTCCCCTGGTCATTTGTGCTGTTCAGGTCCGGGCTCAAGACCTTCCAGGCTCAATACCTTCCTCTTATCCACTGCCCATAACTGCCTGTCTCTCCATAATAATGGTTTTTGGGTTAGATCGCGTAAATATAAAATGTGTCGTTAAACCCGCCACCACCCGACAGCCAAATAGCAACGTTTGTCACGCAAATAAAACATGCTAAAAACATGCCAACTCGTTCACCTGTCTCTTAAGTCTCTCCTCTCTGCCCAGTAGCCTTGTGCTCTTCGCCATCCATCTGAAAATAACCCACAAAAAAGTCCCCCCCCCCCCCCGCCGCCTCTCCCCCCCCCCCTCTTTAGTTACCAATATTTTCACGATCCCTTCCCCCTCTACGTCTGTTTGCACAGTGTCCTGAGATGCAATCACATTCAGATTCTTTCAAAATCCAAATACACTTTATTTGGGGCGGTGAAACAAGCAGCATTTTTTGCAAAGGGTCGCAATTCGTTCCCAGTGGCCCCCCAGGTTGATACTGTGGGCGTAGTAACCAAAATTGCAAGCCAACTTCATAATGGGTGCTAAAGATCCTGTCACATTCGAAAAAAAAGTAGGCCTTGTGTGCCGGCATCACGGTCCAAAGTTGCCAAATTTTACCCGCAAATTACCTAACTGGGTAAAGGCAGGTAATACAAACATAGCCCACTATTATGAGACTGCAGACTACAATCATCTGTGGATCGTAGCAACTTCCTTTGTGGTAGCCAGCCGCTATAAGAATGGCGCCAATATCGAATGCGCTCACGATTTGATTTGCAGGTCAACATCGGGAGAGGATGGAAGGGGTGATGTCTTCATTCCGATTTACCGCTTCCCGGCCATCAGAGCGATGCGCTTCATATCGCGACTGAAGAACGTGCAGACGATATTCATGGTGGTTGCATTGCCACCCATCTATTACCTGCACACGCAGGTGAGACTGGGGAAAACTGGCAGTTCAAAGGGTTCATAATGGCCGTGTCAGAGCTACTAACCCGGAACAGCTGAGATCCTGGGTTTGAATCAGGATTTCAACCGCCAGTAGTTAAACCAAGTTGTCAAGTGGGATGAAGTGATTATATGTCAATTCAAGGCACCACGCTGTCAGTTGTATTCTCTCCAACAATAGATCAGTCAACAGTAAGTCAATATTTCTGCCCACCCTACTCCGAAGGACCGTTTCCCAAAACGTTAGCCATTTGGTATATATACTTTTTCTGTTGAAGGCCGTGTTAATTACAAAGCTGTTGAATATCTTTAAAAACGTGCGTTTGTGCACTGCTGCCAACTAAATTCCTTAATACGCATTTTATCTGATGCTTGTGGCAGATTGATATCTGGAGAATGTTCTATTTCACCTGGCCTTTGGCTAAAATGCACCAACAATGGGCAAATGGCCAAGGGAATTAGAAATATCTTGGCAAATGGCCAAGGCCATTCAACCATAAATCTTGCGTGTGTGTGCGCATGTGCAAGGTGGCTCAGTGGGGAGTGCAGGCGGTGCATGTGCCAGTCATCTCGCTCAATTTACCCATGACACCTGGGTCACACCTGGATCTGTCCCGTGACCTCTTTGCCAGCCAGCGAGCCTTGGACACTTCACGTGATGATGATCTCAAAGTGCACCTCGCACCCAAGCCTGGGTGGCACAAGAGCTGCGTAGTGGTGGCATCGCTTTCACTCGGTGGCGAATGACAGCGGCTGTTGTTGTTTGTCGTCGTCGCGTGCGGGGTGAGCGGCAGGGCCTGGTGGACGAGCACTCATTGTGGCTGACGTCGGGCGTTGCCGCCCTCGCCTGCTGCTCCCTCTACGGCATCAGCCACTACCTGCGACGCTGGGTGGGACTGATCGCGCTGAGCGCCGACGGGGACACGCTCCGCGTGTCGCACCTCTCCTTCTGGGGCGGGCGCCGCGACCGCCTCGTGCCCGTGGCGGACGTGGTGCCGCTCTCCGAGGGCCGTGACCGACCCCACGACCCCCTGCTGGCGCTGCGCTTCTACTCGCACCGCGACGTGCTGTACTTCTCGCTGCGCTACGGCCGCGTGCTCGACGGCGTGAAATTCCGCGCCGTTTTCGGCGATACGTTCCCCTCACCAGATCGGTGATGGTAAAAATAAAAACACACCATGCTGCCATAAGAATGTTGAGTTGAAACCACTGGCACAGAACTAATATTGGCAAGCGGGATAATAGGCTCGTTTGAGCAGGAAGACATGCTCTTACATCCCCTTCCTCCAGACATCCCAGCCGTCCCAGCCATCCGTGCTGTCGACTCCCTGCATCTATCCAAGTCCAGGCTCGAGACCTTCATTTTCCGACCGACTGCCTCTCCCTACAAATATAAACACTTCTCCTGTCACTGTACATCTCCTTAAGATGTAGTAACATTTAAACGCTATATTATTCCAAGTTGTATCCCTTATGGGGCCGATTAACCTCCAATAAAACTTCAACTGGCGACCTCCGACTGCCGAGTCGAGTGCCCTGACCATACTGCCACCTCGCTGGCCGTTGTGCCGTCATTGTGCAAAACTGTTGTTTTAAAACAACACACTTCTAATCTTTAAACGAACTGTGTGAATCTACTTTAAAACGATGTGTGTTAAAAAGCCCAGTCCCTATGGAACCTGTGAAGCGCAATTTTTCATTGTCAACAAGGGTCATCTTAATCTGATGAAAATCTGCTCGATAATCAACTCTTTGAGTTCTATTCTTGGCCACAGCTCACATCAGTGGTGAGTGATAACCAAACTGGTCCTGGGCACTCCCTTCCCCGACTCTCACCGACCAGCGTGGTGAAGTATGTTTAAACTTCCAAATAACCGGCATGGCATTCGTCCAGCAGTGTATTAAACAAGGGCTGTACATTATACATTCTTGTGTAGTGCTTGTGTAAGATTACGCTCCGAATAGAATGGAAGCTCCCTTAATTCTTAGGCTTGCCAGCTTGTTTTACTTTTTATCCAATATAAATACAAAACGTGAAAAAAATTAAATCGGATCTCATGATGGTTTACACAGCGTTTTACACTTACGTCAGTTGTAGCTGTAAAGGTATAGCCAGGGACCGGTGAACTCATTAACACATCATTTCCAACAGCCCATAAAGTCACCCAGGTCAACGGTTCACATGCCAGCCAAAGGTCAACTCAGCCCCTCATCATCATCCTCTGGGGGTCGATACAATTTGGCCATACCACTTTGTGGGAAGCCAACAGTGGATAGACTCCCACTTGCCATGGGAATGTGGAATCTACACCACTGGCCGAGGAAGGACTACCAGCAGAGATGAGTACTGTCCAATGCTCATATACGGAGGGACACTATCTCGTTTACCTTTGGTGATAGAAATAAACTACTGCTCTTGGTCAATCCACTGTCAATAAATGAATCCACTGCTGGAAGCAGACCTCCCCACCAGGGGGCGGGGGCTATTTGACCATACTTCACCACGCTGGTCCACAGCAACACTCGCCACTGATGTTATCCGTCGCTGGGAATCGAACTCTGCGGGTTATCTGGATTCACAGTGGAGTGCGCTGACCATTGCACCGCAACTCCCCAAAGTTGACATTAATTGACAGGTATATTCTTGGGTCTTTCGGTAAAGTCACGTACATAGGTTCTATCTATAGGTTCTATCTATAGATTCTATCCACGTGACTTTACCGAAAGACCCAATAATATGAATTCCGGCAGTGACGAAAGCTTTAAGTCAAGGTTTAATTGACAGGTGTTGTTTAACCCAGTCCCGAGCGGCTTTAATTTTCATGAGCGACGCAATACTGGACGTGTTTTATTACTTAACGTGGTTGTAAAAAGGTGCTTTCGTTTGACAACTCGATAAGGAGGCGGATTCGATTTCAGTCTATGTAGGATGTCAGCTCATTGCCTCATTTAACGAGCCTTGGACCCCATACTAGACCTTGGGAGTTTATGAAGGCCTCACGACTGAGGTCTCTACGGTATATGGAGACCTTTGCTGTGTGGCATCGGCAATTACAATTCACCACGGTCATTATTCTGACATCGTATTCGACGAGTAAATTGACTTGGCCAGCTGGATACATCGCCTATAGGCGCGGGATAATAGCCGATGGCACGAGACTGGTGAAGAAGGCACGACAGTCGAATGAGAGGGAAGGGGTCAAAGGCTCTAGGACAACCACCACCGTCATAGAGATGTCAGTGATGAGATCAGTTCACGTGCAGGAGATGAGAGGAACACTGGTGGCCGGTTGGGGAGGCCTTCATCCAGCGGTGGATAGAAAATGGCCCGTTCTAAATCATTATTTTGAACACTTCGAACGATAACATGAAATGGCTTCATCACCACAGAATACGTTGAAAGGCAAGGCCATTAAGCAAAGGGCTGTTTCTTTTTATTATTTGTAAATGGAAAACCCCTGGATCTGCCGTCTCCCCAGGCTCATCACTCGGGTTGTAGTAGCCACGTGTATAATTAATGTCAGGAGGGTAGAAAAGCTATTGCTACATTTAGAGTGATCATCGGTGGTGGTGGCCTTGGGCAAAATAAAACTCAGCAAACGATGAGGGGCATAAATAGCTCAAGGTGTCGCGGGCTCATAAACAGCGTGAGCTAAAAAGCCGGATTCAAATTCTAATTTTTTGTTTAATCCAAGTGATATTCAAATCAGCTGATTCATCTTATCTATCGAGTCGGCATCTATATTCACTCTCGTATCGCTCTATATTGTCTCTTAAAAAGAGTCTACATGTACATTGCTGTCTCATCGGTATCTCTCATCTCCCTATATCTCTCACGCTGGTCTCAATATTCTCTGCTCTCATTTCACCAAATCGAAGAGGAGGGGGGGGTCCCCAAAATACTTTCTGCTTCGGCCCCCTTGCTAATGGGGGGGGGAGGTTATACCCAAACACTCATTCGTGGAAATGTCCACAGTGTCAGCAGGACCCTCCTGGATAGGAGTCTTGAGACTCGGCGGCGAGGATTTCCTGGCTAAACAAAAGGGCACAATGCCACCGTTGACAGCTGAAACCAAAACACAATTGCACCAAAACAATACTGTACAGTCTGGATTTGAAGCTTTCGTGACTGCAGGAATCCATTCTCTTTTGGTTCTCTCGGTAAAGTCTCGTAGGTAGGAACACAAGCGGGCCGTCATCAGGTGGGACAATCGCAGCAGGGAAACTGCTGAAACAGGCGAGAGAGCTGTCGTGACAAGAGGCTATACAGGTGGGGGCACGTGAACGGGGCTAGATGACGTCTTGTGATTCCCCCCCCCTCCCATTTCATTCTCGAAAAAGGAAAAAAAAGCAAGGTTTATTTAAAACAAGTTAATATATGCAAAGGGCTAACAAAATGTTAAGGGTCAATTAATTGGGGGGGGGGGGGGGGGGGGCTCAAGACATCTGGACCACTCTGTACAGCACGTGTAATTGCCGCTATTTCATGGACTGTAACAAAAGACAAAGCCCCCCCCCCCACCGACCGTGTAGCCTTAACAGACTGTTTGGGTCAAGTGCTGTGAGCGAGAAGCGCCCAATGAAGGGCCGGCACCGTGCAACACGAGAGGGTGGGTGGCGGTGACGTCCCCGCGGCGCTCGTGCCAGGCTAGGTGCACACTGAGAGCCATCACGTGCCGCGTGGAAGGCCTCTCTGCTGACAGGTAACGGGACAGGCTGGGGTCCCATTACTGGCGCACAAAGACAAAGATTCCCCCGCGTGTAGCCCGTAACAGACTGGGTGGGGGCAAGTGCTGTTAGCGAGTCGCGGCATCTATGAAGGCCACCGGCACCGTGGCACACGGGGGGGGGGGGGGTGGCCAGCACCACGCCCGGCCGCCTTTGTCTCCCCCGGTGGCGATGTTTTTACACACCTTACCGGGTACTCATTTGGGGCTGAGTCGACCTAGGGGAGGCCCAGGACCGGTTAATATAATCGTCACTCGGTGTTTGTTGGTGGCCGTGAGCTGGGAATCGAACTCGGGTGGCCGGGTTCGTAGCGCGGCAGCAGCGCGCTAACCACTACACCCACCGCTCCCCATTGGCTGGCGTGTACACACACACACGCGATAATTTACACAATGTTGTAACACGGCCGAACTCAACAACACATTCACAAACACGCATCTTGCGCACATCCACGTTTGTAACCCATTATAACGTCTACTAAACAATCGCACGCACACACAGATCCACAGCTCCCCCAGTAAATAAAATACATCAGGGTCGGTAAAACCCCGGTGGACACACCACCCATCACCATCACCACGGATTATCACCACCACCCATCACCACCACCCATCATCACCACCCATCACCACCACCCATCACCACCACCACCACGGATTATCACCACCACCACCACCATCTGCGCGGCAAGGCGAGTGTTACCATGGCGCTCACGCAAACCGGACCGATCCCGTTTGGGCCGGAGAGATTTTACTCTCCCCCCCTCTCTCCCCCCCACTCTCCCCTCTCTCTCCCCACCACCACCACCCTCTCTCTCTCTCGTGTTGTCTTCCCGTCTGACCCTCCTCCTCCTCATCTCTCTCTGTCTCCCCCGGCTCTCATCTCTCCTCATCTCTTTCTCTCTCTCACCTCCTCCCCATCCACCCCATCCTCACCTCCCCAGCTCTCCCTCCGTGCTAACAATTCATCCCTGTACCCTTACGTTAGCGCCAACCCTATTCCTCAACGCTTATATTAACCATCGTCCTCACCCTGAACCTAACCCCTAAGCCAACTCTTAACGGTTAACCCTGAAGCTAACCCCCTACAATTATTAACATTATTCCTAAACGTCCCTTTACCGTCACCCCTAACCCTGAACTCAAACATCACCTTGACCCCCTCTGACCCCGACTCCGACCCACGCCGCAAGAGAGCAGCTGGGAGCCGCTGTGTGTGTGCGTGTTGTGTGGACTGTATATGGGGACAGTACTATAGACTGTATAGACTGTATCGAGCGGAGACCTGCATCGGCCACATGGAGGTGGAGGAGACGACACCCGGCTTCGCGTGACACAGGTGCCCTCTCTACAGACCACACACACTCACACCTGTACATGTATCTAGACAGACCATACACACACCTGTACTACACCTGTATATAGACATACCACACACACACCTGTACTACACCTGTCTCTAGACAGACCACTCACACACCTACACCTGTATCTATACACACCACACACCTGTATTTAGACAGACCACACACACACCTGTACTACACCTGTATCTAGACAGACCACACACACCTGTACTACACCTGTCTCTAGACAGACCACTCACATACCTACACCTGTATCTATACACACCACACACACACCTACACCTGTATCTATACACACCACACACACCTGTATCTAGACAGACCACATACACTCACCTGTACTACACCTGTATCTAGACAGACCACACTCACCTGTACTACACCTGTATCTAGACAGACCACATACACTCACCTCTACTACACCTGTATCCGGACAGACCACACACACACCTGTACTACGCTTGTATCTAGACAGACCACACACCTGTACTATACCTGTATCTAGACAGACCACACACACTCACCTGTACTACACCTGTATCTAGACAGACCACACACACCTGTACTACACCTGTATCTAGAGAAGACCACACACACACCTGTACTACACCTGTCTCTAGACAGACCACTCACACACCTACACCTGTATCTATACACACCACACACACACCTACACCTGTATCTATACACACCACACACACCTGTATCTAGACAGACCACACACACCTGTACTACACCTGTATCTAGACAGACCACATACACTCACCTGTACTACACCTGTATCTAGACAGACCACACACACACCTGTACTACACCTGTATCTATACACACCACACACACCTGTACTACACCTTTATCTAGACAGACCACACACACACCTGTACTACGCTTGTATCTAGACAGACCACACACACACCTGTACTATACCTGTATCTAGACAGACCACACACACCTGTACTACACCTGTATCTAGACAGACCACACACACTCACACCTGTACTACACTGTATCTATACAAACCACACACACCTGTTCTATAGCTGTACAGTATATATAGACCAAACACTTGGGATGAATACATTAGACAGATGTTTTCTACCTGTATAAATACGTGGGATCCTAATTTATATCGCAGGCAGGTGCTCTATGCAGGTGACACGGTAATGCGGGCTTTCCAAACCTGTGTAGACGATATTCACACCTGAATCCCTCATTAGCATAGCGGGCAGGCGCACGATACTTTAAAGGTTAAGCTATACAGTATATACACACACGGGATCTTCAATTAAGACCGGTGCTAAACATGCAACGTTGGGGCAACGTTGGCCTCGCGTACGGTGCGAAATAAGTTCAACAACAACAACCCCCATTCGCCACTAAGTGGCGGTGACGTCACCACGGCGCCTGTGCCAGGCTAGGTGCACGTTAAGGCCACGTGAAGTGTCGAACGCCCGCTGGCAGGAGGGTCACGAGTTGCCCGACTTAGATGACTGGCTGATAACACCGCCTATGCCCCCTACTGTGCCAAATACACACACACACGTCTGGAACTTTAATCTCAGCAGACAGGTGTTGTACATTTGTCTAGAACGCATCGGACGGTCGATTTAAAGTCGTGGAGCCTGGCCACAAGGTGAGCGAGAGAGAGAGAGCTCTGTTTACGTTTTTAAGGAAGGCATCGGCTGCTGCTACACACGGCGGCGTCTGTTTTCACGGGGGGCGGGGATAGGAGCGAGAATCCATATTGGGGGGAGGGAGGGGTCCACGCAGGAAGCACGTGGTTTACGGGAGGCTTGAGCCGATGTTTGATATGTGGTAGTCCCTCGGTTAACGTTTGTAATCCGTTCCACGAAAACTATTGTGAACCGAAATAACTGTCGATCGAATGCAGACTAATTGCACGTTGAAAGCATTCATCCATTCCAAGACGATCGGAAGTTTACCCTTTTGACCCTAAAAACATCGCATGCAACATTTAAACACTCAATATCAATAAATAAGCATGATAAGAAGACGTTAAATAATGCTTTGTTTTAGGGCTAATTGCTTTCCTACTCTTCTCCTTTTGCGAATTCACTTTTGAGGACATTGCAATCACTATGAATTCACTTATGAGTTGCAATTCTTTGTTTTTAAAAAAAATCACCGAGTCTGCAAGAGAGCTGTTTCCGCTGCCAAAACAGAAAGACGTATCATGTAAACAAAGCCAGTCGAGGTCTCAACGCTCGTAAACGGGCATCGCTGATTGGCGTGTTAGACACGTGCCCCTCAGTGAGGCAGATGTGATAGCTGCCTCCCCTGCTGCTTTTTCATTGCAGTTTCATGACGAGACCAGCGAGCCCAAGTATCTTTATACACATTACGTGAAATAAGTTACCTGGAGTATGGAAGGCGAGGACATGAAATGAAAGGGTCTACAACCATTACATTGGTGACATACTGAGATAGTAACAGGCACGCGCTTATTGCCCGCGCTCCGTCCAGTTACTGAGGGGTTGCGCAATCAGAGGGGAGGCTGAGCTCGTCGCTGCCTCACCTCTCGTCTCTTCCTGTATTTGCAGCAGAGCTCCGCAAATTTGGCGATTTTGACTATAAAAATGATTGTAATCGTACATAAATGACGTTTACAACACAGATCAGTGGAAAAATCTTAATATTTATTTTATTATTCTTTTTTTCGTAACAGCTATTTTCCTTGGAGTATGACAGGCGAGGCTCTGCCTCCCCTGCCTTCCCTGCCCGCACGTCCCTGCAGGATATACATCCGCATTGCCTGTGTATAGTACGTGTGTGCATTTTAGTGTTGTGTATAGGGTATGACTACACACTTTGTGACCAGTTTATATGTTTACTTTAGTGTTTATGACAGTGGCTGTCTATTGAATGGACTGGGCCCCGCCATTGAAATTTGGAATTTCCGGCTCATGGCCACCAATGGAAATGAGTGCTGTCAGCTCATTCGAGCAGAGAAACACCGACTTCCTCATCTCCAGCGGTGGGCCCGAGCCAGTGGTGAGCATTCCACATTCATGTGACGGGGTGCCGGTCCGTCGACGGCAACAACAAAAAAGATTGACCCCGACGATGTAAAGTGAAACCGGCTAGAAACGTCAAGCACGCTTCCTTTGTCCAACGGCCTGGATACAAGGTGTGTTTACGTGGACGCAAATAACAAAGTCTGTGAATCTCTGGTTCGGTCATCCACACAGTGGCACCGCGTGACCCAAACAGAGCGGCGGCGGGGGCGCGATGACCCAGAGTGGTCTCGTAATGGCCGTGACGACGGCGGAACAGCTGAGGTTGTGGATTGGAATAATTTTTTTTTTATATTTTCAGCGAGTAACGTGACGCCGCACAGTGTCCGCTTGCTGTCGGAAGGGGAAGAGGGAAGAGAGAGAAGACAACTCAGAGGCGAGGAACCCACAGACGAGCAGGGAAGGCAGCAAAGCAACACGGTGAGCACCCCCCCCCCCCCACAAGCTCTGCGGTCCTCTATATATTAAGATGCTATCGGACAATTAATGAGCGGTTTACATTTAGGATGAAACCGGAGCACCCAGACAAACCTTGCGTGTATGAGTGGTTTCAGTTGCGGGTGATCTACCTCCATGGTGCTGGACTACAGTAACCACCGCCGCCACTGCCACCCAGCTAAATGCTGTGTGGTACTTCGCTGGCCCCAGCAGATTTACCACCGCAGGCTGTAGCGCGGTAGCACAGGATCTTGCACCCGTGGTCCGGCCCGTTTTTTTTCTTTCGGTGGTATCAACAATGTCACGAGGCAATGAATTCCAGAGCAATGCAAGAAGCTTCCGTGTTGTGCGAACGGCCCCCGCAGTTGGTGAATATCACGCAACTGCCTCTGAGAAGTGACCCACCTTGCCCAAACCTTTCCACCCACCCTGGCACAGCGAGTGACCTCCGTTGCACGACAGCCCTGCCCGATACGAAGCGGTCTTTTACATTCTCAAGCACTGGAATGTAGCACAAATGCAGCCAAGTGTAGAAGCAGATTTAATGCGATGGGGAGTTTTGTGCAGCCTTTGGTGACCGCGGTTGACACATCAACTCACAACACTTGAGAGAACCCAGTTTTAATTGGAGGTAACCAAGTCCTGGATTTGAAACCAGGTGCTCAAGCAATGCGGGTTCGGCACTCTGATCTCCGAACCACATCGCCACCCTGGGTTTTCCAGTTCCATCGATTTTTCATGAGATAGCCATTTCCATAGCAGTGTGGTTTTTTTGGCATTTATTGTTAGTCTAAGAATATATTGTAATCAATAAATGCACTGTAACACCTGTATTGCCACAGATCCTGCAAGTGTAGTGGAATTATTGTCTCATACTTTTGGTACCCAATGACTGCCTTATAACATAGTACATTTTACGCCTTGCATGTTTATATTCATTGTAATGAATCACTTCTTCAACAGTCAGATAACGTTTGGAACGTGGCTTTGAGCAGACATCAAATTAAGTGTATGGCAATGCAACATTTAGCCCTCAAATCATACTGTAAACTGCAAAGAGCCACAAATACTAAAACTCTCCTTTAAATAAAAAAAAACGTTTTTTATGTATATGTAAATTTATTTTTACATATGCCAGAATAGTTATCCATGTCTTGGGGGAAAATGTAACGAGTAGTTTTCCTCACATCGCACGACAAATTTAATCGTTTGCAAAAAAAAGGCATGTCCCGTAGCATTGCCTCTGGCGGATGACATTGCAAAAAAATGTTCGAGGTCCATGTCCTTGCGCTCATCCATACAATACTGGGGGGGTGGGCAGCGACAGGGATCCCAGAGGGGAGGGGTTCATTTCTTTGGAACTGCTTTTTCGTGTTTAGTTTGATGTCTTCCCTCACTACGTACGGTGCGACAGAAGTTCAACATACATACGGACGGAGGTAAAAATTCCACATTTCGATGGCGGTGCCAAGTACACCCTAAAGATAGCCACTGTCATGCACACTAAAGTAAAACATCTAAACTTGGTCACACATTCTGTCATTATACCCTATACATAATATACACTTTAGATACAGGACTTAACACCACACTTAAATACTGTACACACATACTATACACAGGCAATGCGAACGCATATTCTGTACATAGTGGGATGTGGCCCTTAGAGGCATTCTTCACGTGGCAATCAGACCAACAGCTGTCGTCCTCACAGCTGGAATATATCTCGATGCTCAAGCCTCCCGTAAATCACGTGACTTCTTCGAGGCCGCACCATCTCTGAACCCCTCCCATCCCCCTGTCGCCGCCCACTCTGAAAACAGACGCTGCTCCTCCGTGCAGGAGCAGCAGCGTCATCTCTCCTGACCCTTTGCTCCAATTTCTCCATTCATTTTACATTCCTCCTCCTCTGCTTTCCCATTCGTTCTCTTCTCTCTCTCCCTTTCCCCTTTATTTCCCATGCATAACATCCTAATATTATTGTAATTAATGCAGCACCTACACCAAGTGCGCATTACGGAGAGTTAACGATGGTACGTATGATGCTGTTGGGATGAATGATGATATATAAAATGAAGTTAATCTTATTATTATGAAAGTAATGGTGCAGATATGGTGAATGAAATAAATGAGGAATTTAAGGTGGACGAAATCGCGATGCGTGAATGAAGTAAAAGAGACATTGACGAGAGCAAATTATGATGAATGGATTGGATGGATGGGGAATGAGTGGTAGTCATTGAGAGATTACGAAGAGGGAGCAGGAAACGGCCATGGTTAGAAGGGGGAGAATTAAGGGGCCGTGGGATGAGCTAGGGGGAAAGAAAAAGTAGGCTTTTACGGAGGAGCGGAAACTCGTGAGTGGAGGTGACCGCTGAATGTGGAGGGGGAAGTTTGTTCCAGTGAAGTGGGGGGGGGGGGAGCAGAGAGAAGGAACGAACACGTGATTGAGCACAAAGACTCCCCCCCCCCCCCTCCTAACTCGACTCCCCCTTCCCCGTCATGTGCCACAGGTACCAAGCTGCTGACTAGTACCGGATTCATTGAAAGGCCCAAATTGAACGCACCGTTTTTTTTGCGTGCTATTGTTTGTGACCGGGCTGACACCATCACCTCACTGCACCTGCAAGCCCAATCCCATCACCGGTGGCTACCTGGATTCAATCATAGGGACGCAGCCATGCCGCCTCGTTATCCGTGACACGGCCGTCACGAGCCACCTACAGTACTCACGGTGATGTCCTGCTGCTCAAATGAGCGTTGCGGCATTGGTGCCCATGCCCTGCAGAGCCAGTGGTGGACATTCCACATTCGGACAACCACTGTGGACTTCCCCACGAGAGTGGTGCTAATTTTTATCGACCCCTCCTTCCAATTGTCAGCCGCTCCCTCTTCTGCTCCCTCTACTGCTGAGCCACGTAACCAGACTGGCCCGGATATGAGAGTGAATGAATTGGGAGGTTGGAAGGGCAGGTTATGGCTTTGCCATGTGGTGAAAACATGGTGTGGACTCCCGGAGGGAGAGCGAGAGAGACACGTGATACCGGCGTGACATTATATTTCCAGGTGAGGCCCACTGAGCTATATAGCTCTTTTTCAGAAGCGTCCTGGCCACAAATGATAGCTTAACGAAGCAGCTTATTACGTGGAAATTAATAGCAGCCAAATACTCTTAAACATATGTTTCTAAATGTGGAGGGAAGAACCGGAGGACCCAGAGAAAAATTCACGCAATCAAGGGGAGAGAGACACGCAAACTCCAAATAAACAGGCATTTTCATGGTCGGGATCGTACCCATGACCTCCTGTATATCAGGCGAGGGCATTAACATCTCACCACCTCAACGGTATATCTCTATGCGTGTGAATATATCTCTATGCGTGTCTGTGTAGACATCTCTACGAGTGTGTATGTACAGCGTGGTCCAAATGTCTTGTGACTCCCCCCTGTCATTTAATTCTCTAAAACTCAATATTTGTTTTTTAAAGTAAGGTTTATTTAAACGAAGAAATTACAATGCAATGGGGCAAAAAATTGTTAGGGGTCAATAAATTGGAGGTCACAAGACATCCAGAACACCCTGTACATATTCCTACGAGTGACTCCATACAGTTTAACCCGTATTAGGCTTTCGTGACAAATATTATTCATAATAGAGGGTTTTTTTTGGGTTAGATCGCGTAAATATAAATGTGTCGTTAAGCCCGCCACCACCCGACACAGCCAATTAGTAAGGTTTGTTTCATTACTAATTCAGCACGCCGGTGTAAATGTGGGTTTACTCTCCAACACACCGGCGTGCTGAACTAGTAACAAATTGCCATGTTTTGTTTAGCATGACAAACCTTACTAATTGGCTGTGTCGGGTGGTAGCAGGATTAACAACACATATTTACGTGATCATACCAACGATGAAAACCACCTCTTTTGGATGACTCCATACAAACAACGCAGCAAGTCTTGCGTTGCTTCCTTTGCTTGGGCATCCTCCGCAGAGTCCATCCTATTCGGTTTACCCGACACGGATTGTTAACGCCGTGGTGGTGGCGGTGCTGCTTGCGGTGCCATTGGCGGCGTTTGGTCGCGGTGAAGACGGCGACGGTGGCGGCGACGACGGTGACGACGACGACGGTGGCGTCTGTGGGCGGGCCATGGCGTGCTGGTGGGGGCGGCTGTGCGCGCCGCGCGTGTACCCCGTCGTCCCCGACGGCGGCTGGGGCTGGGTGGTGGTGGGCGCCCTCTTCTCCATCAGCGCCGTCACCATCGGCTCGTTCAAGGCGTACGGCGTGTTCGTGCCGGAGCTCATGGCGCACTTCGACACGCACGCGCGCGGTGTCTCCTGGATCTTCTCCATCTGCATGTTCGTTGTCGCCTTCTGCGGTGAGACGTCATTGCCCGCCCGCCCACCCGCGTCACCCCTCCCCTCCCCGCGCCCCCCCCCCCCGCACCACCCCCCCCCCCACCACCAACTTTGGGCCAATTTTGGGCTAACGGTTCCAATCACATTGATCCCACCACATACCAACATTGGTCCAACCACATGCAAACGTTGCTCCAACCACACGCTAACGTGCTGTCGCCCCCCTCCGCATGCCTCCCTCCCAGCCCCCTTCACCACGGTGCTGGGCAACCGCTTCTCGCCGCGCGCGGTGGTGATGGTCGGCGGCGTCATCACCAGCGTGGGCACCATGAGCACGGCGCTGTCGCACACCCTGACGCACGCCTACCTCACCCTGGGGCTCGTCACCGGTGGGCACAACTCGGCCATACCAACACCCGCCATTCGCCGCTAAGTGACGGTGACGTCACCTCGGCGCTTGTGTACCAGGCCAGGTGCGCTTTGAGGCCACGTGATGTGTCGAGGGCTCACTGCTGCCAGGAGGTCACGGAACAGACCCAGGTGCCATGGGTTGGCTGACTGAGATGACTGGCGGATGCTACCAGCTGTGCCCCCTACTGTGCCAGCTTGCTGCATTTTAGCCGTCCACCGTACACACACAAACAGACAAAGATCTCCCGTGTAGCCTATAACAGGCGGTTGGGGGCAAGTGCTGTTTGCGAGTAGCACCAATGAAAGCTGCCACGGCGCACAAAGGGGGCGGGTGGCCAACACCACACCCGGCCCGGCTTTTGTCTCCCCACCACTGATGTTTACTACACACTGCACCAGGTACTCATTTAAGGCTGAGTCGACCTCGTGGGGGGGGGGGGGGGTCTTTGATCGGTTCAGATATTCGTCACTGGTCGTGGCCGTGAGCGGGAATCCAATTCGGGTCCCTGCCGGGTTCATAGTGCAGCGCACTAACCACTGCGCCACCGCCCCCCACAAAACAAAGTTCCCCTGTATAGCCTTGACAGACTTTATGGACGAGTGCCGTTCGCGAGCACCTACGAAGGCCGGCACGCCACACGAGGGGGTGGGTGGCCAGCACCACGCCCGGCCACTTTTGTCTCTCCAGTGGTGAAGTTTTTTACACATCACACCAGGTACATATTTGAGGCCGAGTCAAGCTAGGGAAGGCCCAGGACCGGTTAAGATAATCGTCACTGGTGTTAGCCGTGAGCGGGATACAAATTTGGGTCACCGCGTTCGTAGCGCAGCGCACTAACTGATAACACTACTGCTACCCACAACAACCGCCATTCGCCACTAAGTGGCGGTGACATCTCCACGACCCTTCTGCCAAGCTATGTGCACGTTGAGGCCACGTGAAGTGTCGAACGCATGCACGGGGCATACCCAGGTTCCACGGGTCGACTGACTGAGATGACTGGCTGATGCATCACCTGTGCCCCCTACTGTGCCAACTTGCTATGCTTTAGCTATCTGGCGCTCTGCTCGTTGTTGTGAGCGTCGCTCCTCTGCACTCCGTTGTTGTTGGAGGGCGACTGCCTCCAACTGCCCAGTAGTGTCCTTCACGATTCGCCTCCACATTGGCCGATCTTAACACCGCTGGTACCAGTCAACGGCAAGTCCACTCAGATCCACGTCCTCCTGTACCACATCACTCCATCTCTTCTCCAACCCATGCCGCGCCCATTTAGCCCCTCTATCCGGACGAACAAAAGCTGTTTAGGCATGCGGTGGCTGGGCATGCGGGCTACATGACCCAGCCAACACAGCCTTGCCTGCTGGAGGAGATCACAATCCAGTCTGGTTAAATCCAGGATGGATCGTAAGCAGGCCAGCCTAAATGTTTCTAACCAACGAAGATGTTCCATTAGGGGGGTCCACGTTTCGCAAGCGTAGAGAAGGGAGGGAATGACCATGGCCGAGAAGACCTAGCTTCGTGCAGAGCAACAGACCAGGTTGCTTCCACACCGCGTTACGCAGCCAATGAAAAGATAATGCCGCTCGACTGATTCGGAATGAGACCTCTGCTGTCAAACCAGAGCCGGTCATGAGCACACTGCCCAGGTATGGGAAACTCTCCACTCTCTCCACAACAGCCCCATCACCAATTGGGAGTTGTGGGGGTGGAGTGTCCGATGGTACAAAATACCCAGGCAGGTGCTCAGTATTGGTAGGGCTGATGGTAAGGCCCCACCTCTTAGTGGCAAGCTCCAGGTTCAGCAGCAGCATCTCCAACTCCTCCTCTGAGTGAGCAGCAATTACCAGATCATCGGCATACATAACGTGGTTGACCAATAGGGAGCCATCCCTTGACCACACCCGGGCATCGATCAGCCTCCCATTGTATCTGTATCAGATGGAAATTCCTCCGGTACAGCCATCGAAGGCTTTACGAACTATGTGGTCGAAAAATATGTTAAATAATGTGAGAGCCAGAGGACATCCCTGTCGCACCCCAAGGTGTACAGGGAATGGCTCCGACTCCCGACCACGTAGTTTTACCCGGGCCCGCGCACCATCATGTAGGTCTTTAATGATCGTGAGCAGAGGATCAGGGACTCCAAAAGCACGAAGAATAATCTGGAGCCCAGGCCTACTGATGGTATTATAGGCCTTGACCAGGTCAATAAAGCAGAGATGTAGGTTTTGTTGGAATTCCCTAGACCTCTGCTGTAGCAGACGGACAGAAAATATGGCATCTGTGCAGGACCGGCCCTTCCTGAAACCGCACTGGGGCTCCTCAAGCCTCTCCTCAGCGTGCCTGGCAAGGCGAGTTGAATAATCCTTGCCAAGACCTTTCCCAGCACATTGAGGAGTGAGATGCCCCTGTAGTTGTTACAGTCCTGCAGAACCCGGCCAGTGGTCCAGACTGTTGTTATGATGTCATGTAGGGCAGTCTGTGCACAAACGCTACCCTCCCTCAGCATTTCGCTTGAGAGATCACCTCTGCCCGGTGCCTTTCCTGGTCTCAGGCTCCGGATCGACCTCTGTACTTCCTCAACAAATGGCACCTCAGCCATCCACTCACAGGGGGTGACTTCTTCCAATATTTGAGACACTGCAGCCTCAGCAGGGTCATCCCCACTTTGTCCCACGATGTTTTCCAGACTGAGGGATTTCCCCTCCCCCAGGACCTCACAGAAATGCTCAGCAAATCTGCAAACCTGGGGGTTGGAGATTGGATCACTGTTCTTTCCCCTAATGATGGTAATAGGTGTGGTGCTGCAGGTTACTTTTTTGATGGAGTTAAAGAGCGATTTGTGATCGCGAGCCATTGAGGCAGACTCCATCTCCTCAGCAACCCGTGCCCACCACCCATCCTTGCAGCGCCTCACAGCTCTCCGAATCTCCGAGCGAAGGCTGCGGTAAGCCTCCTCATTCTCTGACGTCGGATGCTGTAGATGATGAGAGTGGGCCTGTCGCTTTTTCTCAGCCAGCCTGAACAATTCTTCTGTCAGCCAGGGTCTCTGAGGATGTCTAGACCGTGTACCCAAGGCAGCTATTACAGCTGCATGAGCCACAGTCCTAAACCTCGCTCATTCCCCTCGACATCTGGAGGAGTGGGGGACGATGCCAACCCCAGCCGCAAGCGATGATCAAATTCTCGCTTGCAACTTTCATCAGCTAGCTGAGACCACTTTGGGTTTGAATGGGTTCCTGGGTGTACACTCACCACCAAAGTGGAAGAATGGCAGGCGCATCTTAAAGATGACAAGTCGATGGTCAGTGGGCAGATCAGCTCCACGGTAGGGCCTGGTGTCAAGGGCATGGGCCCGCATCCGCTGTTCCGTCACTATGTAGTTTAGCAGATGTTCTTGCTTGGACCCGGCATGCATCCATGATGTGTGGATGCGCCAATACCGGAACAGCAAGCCCATGGGCTGCACAAAAACCGAGCAGCCTCCTACCGTTGTCATTGAGCTGATCTGGCCCATGCCTTCCAATCACTCCAGACAAGGTGCCAGCATCATGACCAACTCGGGAATTGAAGGTGATGACTCTATCCCAAAGGGCCACTTTAGCTAGCACCTGTGACAGGTCACAGAAGGCATCTGACTCATCGGCCTTGCCTGCATCCCTCCGCGGATGTTTGTCTTCGGTGGGGGCATAAGTAACCACGACCACCACTCCTCGCCTCCGGTTGATGGGAAGGCGAGCCCAAAGTAGCCTGGGGCTTACCGCTTCCTACACCTCACCGCCACGCTACCACACCCTTTCATTATTTGTTCAGGAGAAGAGCCACTCCCTGTTGTTTGACAGTCTCCTGCCCCGAGTAGAGGACTGTTCACCCCTCATGGTGGCAGGAGCGAGAACCGGTCCACCAGACCTCCTGAATACCACAGAGATCCAGGCGGTACCGGTCCAGCTCCCGACAGAGGAGTGGCAGCCTCTCCTCCACAGTGAGCATTCAAACATTCCACGTGGCCATCTGCAGTGGTTTTTTGTTGTTTCTGGAGGAGCCCCGAGGGTAAGGAATCAGTCTCCTGGCTCCGCCAAATGGGGTTTGGCCAGGAGACGTCATAGACCCCTGTCCCCCCAAAGCCTCTTGCACAAGCTTAATAAAAAAAATTCAAACGTGGTTTGGTGGTAATTAATTTAAGGTGGATGGGGTACCAGGCCCTCGCACCCATCCAAAGCCCCAATTTGGCCGCTGTGGTGGTTACAAACGCCAAGAGGGGAAAGGCCAATCTAAATTGGTCCTCCCCCCCACGGCACTGCCAACCACATCGTGGCCGTCCAGCACCAACGAGGAGATAAGGGGTTGTTTTTGTACACTCGTACACACACACGCACTTACACACACACACGTGCACACAAGAAAAAGATCAAAGCAATTCACATCAAAGCGATTATTAGCGGCGGTGCTCATCCATCCGCAGCCCTGAGACAGCGGTGGGCGGGGTGGCCGAGTCTATTACACAGGGTAAAGCTCTCGTTGACCTCCCTTGTGTGTCATCGGCTCCTAGGCCTGGGCATCTCCCTGAGCACGCTGCCCTGCTACTCGGCACTCTTCTGCTACTTCGAGCGGCGCCGAACCCTCGCCATCGCGCTCGCCACAACCGGCGAGTGCCTGGGCACCTTCGCGTTCGCGCCTGGTGAGATGGGGCCCAGGGGGAGCTTGGGGGGGAGGCGCCTTGCAGTATGCCAGGTGACGATAATTGGTTAACCGCCTGTTTGCTGCCTCCACGGCGCAGGCTTCCAGCGTCTCAACGAGGCCGTGGGCTGGCGCCATTCCTTCCTGGTCATCGGCGCTGGACAGGCGATCATCGTGGCTTGTGGAGTGTTGCTCCGGCCGCTGGAGCTGCGAGCGCCGTCACCTGCTGACCGGCCGGGCCGGCACCAGCCCTGCACCGACGACAGTGCTGCTGTCACTGCCGCAGCGACAATCGTCATCATGCGGGAGAACGAGCAGACGCGGACGACGGTTCACTCTGACGACTCGGGCGTCTGCGTGCAGCTGCCGCCACCAGCGACGGCGGCATCGCTGTTCTTTCCGCTCGTTACCGACGACTTCTGTGCCGGCGGAGACGAGGAGGAAGAGGAATTCGATGAGGGCGGTTGCTCCAAAGCGGCGTCGATTTGGAGCGATGACGAAGCTGGCGCCAACGACAATGACGACGGAAGGGAAGAGCTGGCACCCGCGGCAATGACCTTACTCGACCTCTCGGTACTGCGAGAGCCCGGCTTCGCCTGCTACGCGCTCTTCGGCGCCTTCATCTCTTTCGGATTCTTCGCGCCGGGGCTCTTCCTGGTGCCGCTGGCGATGGACGCCGGCGTGCCCGCTTCCGAGGCCACTTACCTACTGTCGGCGATGGCCGGCGCCGAGCTGGTGGGCCGCTCGGCCGCCGGGTGGCTCTTCTCGCGTCCGCTGGTGCTGCCGCGCGTCTACCTCGAGCTGGTCTGCGTGTGCGCTGTCGCCGTGGCGCTTTTCGCCTTCCCCGTGGCGGCTGCCGGCAGCGGCGGTGGCGGCTGGGGACGGCCAATGGCGGCGCTGGCGTCGTGCAGTGCCGCCTTCGGCCTGGCGTTTGGCGCCGTCGCCGGCACGCACGTGTCTGTGCTGGCCGAGCCCGAGGTGGTGGGGCCGGGACGCTTCTCCTCGGGCCTCGGGGTCTACGTGTTCGTGCAGAGCTTCTCCGGGCTGTTGGGGCCGCCCCTCGCCGGTAGGGCCGGGGCTCCGCGGACGGATATTGGAGATGGGCAGAACGCGGCAGAGTGCTGGGGGTTAGCGGCGCAGTTGTGGTTTGCGAGAAGGGTCGTGCCTGTCATGGCTGCTTGCCTAGTTATGGTTAGTCAGAGGGTGAGTGGCCATGGCTGCTTGTCTAGTTATGGTTAGTGGGAGTACGATTAATTATATTGTACTTTAACGTTTCTAAAAATTTTTTTTATCAGTGTATGTTACCTGCTATTGCGGCATATGATTTATCAACATGAACATCGACAGTGAAGATGTAACACAAGCTAAAGAGTGTGCAAAGAAGCGTGGAGAATGCTTGGAATTACACTGACAGCCAGAACAAATGTTGTATTGACTTAACCTTTCTCCATTCCGATCGGAACAGAATTGGAATAAAAAATTAAATAACTTTATCAGTACGTCTTCAGGTCGGAAGACTTCAGATCGGAAGACGTACCGAGACTCCCACAAGGCCATGCGGGAGGGCATGTGGCAGTTTATCGCCAGCTATCGTGGAGTACGGCGGTTGTGTCCGTACGGTTCTCTGCGGTGAGTACAATGTCTCTAAATAAAACTAAATGCTGAGCCGCTCATGCGTTCCCAGAGTTAGCGGTGAACAGGACACCCCACCCTGCAACTTGCAGACGTTTCGGAATGGGAAAGGGTTAAGAAGAGCAAAGTAGGCTCGGGGCAGGACACGTCGCTGGCAGAGACGTCGGTGGCCGGTGGCCGGTGGTCAAGACTAACGTCGGAGTGGCAACCAATTGAAGGGACACACCCCGAGGGAAAGCCACCTCGGAGATGAAGCAATCAAACCGAGCGCGGTGTGCATCGCAGCATCGAGATTCCAACGTTCATCCAGCAGTGGATCGATTATGGCTATGATCCCTCCCTTGCCCCCCCCACCGTGTGCTCAGGCTGGCTGGTCGACCTGGCGGACGAAGACTACCTCATGGCGTTCTACACCTCCGGCGTCGCCGTGGCCCTTGCCGCCGTTTGCATCGCGCTCGTGCGGCCATGCGCTCTCGAGTTTGGCGGCGGACTCAATTACCATCAGCAGCAGCGGCAACGGCACCGGCGTCGCTGCAGCGGCAGCTGCTACCCACGTAACCACAAGCAGCAAGACAACGGCAGCAGCAGCAGCCGCCAATGCCGCACGGGCTTTAACGCCAACCCCGGCGTCCTGGCATTTGCGATGCCATTCGCCGACGCCACCGAGCTGCTGGAATACCGGAGCGGAGCGGTCGTAGTTTGTGCCGACAGCGCGGAGTTCCTCGAGACGGACCTACAAGACGACGCTCACAAGTGAAACCGCCCCCCCCTGCTCCGCGTGCGGCTGGTGGCACCCGAGGACCACAAAAACAAACGGTTTTTTTGGTGGTCTTGTAGCTATACAAGTCTGAAGATCGCATAATTAAAAAAAAACAAGAGGCTTCGCCTTTTGGGACGCATCTTCTTCCTTTAACTGACACACGGGGCCAACGTCTCCATGAATCAGAGGGTTCGTCACCCCTGGGTGCCGCCAGTTAAGCCGCGCCAAGTTACCGTCGGCCGCTCACTGCCCTCCCAATACCTCGTCTCTTAACAACCCGCAAAGTCGTGATAACAAAACCGGCTCCAGTGGCGCTGGGGAGGAATGTAAGATGGCTTCAGTCATGGTTGGAGGAAGTGGTGCTTGTTCAGCTGGATTGACAGCTATTTTTTTTATTTCAGGAATGATTTAAGGTTTGTTTACAATTTATAAACGTTATGGAATCTGACCCAAATGTTTACAGCTCCATTGATTTTACCGAACATAAGTGAATCACCTCGCCGACCCTGCCACCCACCCCCCCCTGTCCCCCCCACCAACGCACACCCCCAAAATTTGTCGCTGGACTCTTTCAAATACCAAACGACAAACTGAACGCACGCGGGTGATTTGGTCGTATCAGCGGTCAGTCGGCAGCTCGTTTTCAGTGGCCTGGATCCACGTACAAAATCAACAGGATTGTCCGGGTCATGAAGCAAGCACAGCCATAGCAGCGTCTGCACAATAAGGGGTGGGGGGGGGGGGGCTCGAGTCACACTTTTAAAGAACAATAACTTTGGTCGAAAAATGAAATGTGCATCTCCTGAATTTTCTTTGGCCAATTTTGTCGTTGTTCCAAGCCGTGCCTTTGTCCTCCTTCGAAAAGAATCTTAAAGTTGAATTTCGCCGTTTCTGGGAGCCATTCAAGGCCGCTCATTGGTGAACGGCGACTTGCACCTCCCAAGAAGTGCACTTACACAGTCCATCGTTTGATTTTTTTTTAAATACGCGCCTTGCTGGTCCGCACTTAAAAGCCGCGAGTTTTTTTGTCGTGACGTCCGAACGCACTTCCACGAGGGTCAGGATCCTCGCGAGGCTCGAGTTTTAATTTCCGTAACGACGACGGCTTCAGACACTTGAATTTTCAATCGAGTAATGTATTGAGAAGTCGCAGAGGAACATTTGTTCGTCTTGTCATGAATCCGCGTTCCGTCTCTCAGCGCGGTAGTTGAAATGAGTTTCGTTGCATCTTCTTATTTCTAACGAGGATCGACTTTGCGTGCAACTCGCGTGTCAGTCATCGGCGTGCATCGCACACTTATTTAATGTTCAAACGTGAAACCGCACACTGGAGGCATTTGCGTTGAAATAAAGGACGATGAAACGCAAACACGGAGAAACAAGCGATCTTCATTTATCATTCGTGACAACAATAACTTCGCTCTGATGTCTGATTCAATCCCACCCGTGACTTATGCTCGTTTGGCTGAATGTGTCTTGTGGCAACTTTAAAATATTTTAATTCGACAACCTCGCACTCTGATGCATGAGATCGAAAACCCACCAGGAGAGCTGGACAGATTTGAATTTCAGTTTTTGTTTATGTTTATTTTTTTTATTGCTGTGCAGTTCAAAATAAGCAACACTTTAGAGTTAGGACAGAGAAAGCAGTTCTAGTGTAACTCTGTTTCCTGTGTTTTGCATGGTTCCATGAAACCGATGTAAGTTCAATTGAGAAAAATATGTACAAATCAAAGTAACAATCATGCCAAGTTTTGAGATCAGTGAAGGAGATTGGTGTTTTTTCTCTCTCTGGAACAGTTTTTCTGGTTCAGATAACTCCTTAGGTATGTATGTTGAACTTCTTTCGCCCCGTACGTAGCGAACTGCTAATCGGAGATACGGGGTCTTCATCTTGTTCTTCGTCATCATTTGTCTACGTCATCATATTTGTCTATCCAATTATAGTCATCACAGCGATACACACTCCGCTACTACTGAAAGCGATTATCTGGCTCAACTGCTTTAATGTCAAAATTATACTTGTTGATCGACATCAACATCAGCCATCTGCAGAAGAAGAACACTTCCCAGGTCTACCAACTACCTGGAAAACATTCAGCGATAATGTAATAGTTACTGTGCTCGTGTGTGTGTGTGTGTTTATCACTTCACGAAACGTTTCTCACTGGCACTGTCACTTTCACACGGTGAACCTTTGGCGGACGGGTCCACAAATGAAGCCACCGCACGATCCTTTCCGCAAGAGGATTAACAAAGCGTTCTCCACACCGCTCCGTCGTGTCCGCTGCCTTGGGGGGGACATTAAAGGGACCGCACGACGTCGCCGTCGCCCCATCGCGGGCGGCGTTGCGGCCTGGCAGCGTCGCGCCGGTCACTCGCGCCAGTTGTGTCCGCACTGCACGTTGCAGCACTTGTAGAACGTCGTCATGGGCTCGTCGGCCGAGCGCGTCTGGATCTGCATGAAGTACGCGCGGGGGTGCTGGCACTTGGGGCATTGCTCTGAAGAGGGGAGGGGGGGAGAGGGGGGCAAGACAAAGATCCCCCCCCCGTGTAGCCTTAGCAGACTTTTGGGGCAAGTGTTGTTCGCGAGTAAAAAATACATTATAATAAATTAAATAAAACATTCACAAGTCAACGGCCTATCACGCAACATACAAGGAACGTTGCGCGCACCCACACCCGAGTAAGCAAAGATTATAACGAACATCCATAGAAGGTTCAGAACATTTAGACGATTTAAAAGTGCGCTTCACAGTCCAGAATGTGTCTACGGAGCGACAGGGGGAGTGGGGGGGGGCGGGGGAAGTTGTGCTGTGCATGACGGTGAGGAGTTGATAGAGCTATCTAAACTACGTTAAGATGTACGGTACCATACATTTCCAACCGTGCTAATCGGCGGTGCAGGGTGGGTGGGGGGGTCGACGACGACAAACTCAACACAAAGAGCAGTTCGAAAGAAATTAGTTTTCGATTATTTAAAAGTGCATAGCTCCAACGGCTTCGTAATATCGGAAGGAGCATTCCAGACAGTCACAGGAGTGCATCTGAAAGCGCGCGACGCCGTGACCGTCTTTGTTCGATGGCCAGCCAAAAGCCGCTGCTGCGAGGATGACCAGGAGTTCGCGTGATGATGGTTTATGCAAGAAAGTGCAGACACCTGCGGTGGAGTCCACGTTCTCCCAGGCCTTGGCTCCACCCAGCACATCGTCCACCTCCTTCAGCTTCGGGTAATTCCGCGACGTAATCTGCTCCGGCACGTTGCGATAGCGTCGACCAAAGGAAGACGACGACAAAAAAAAACGCAAACGGCTCTTGCACTGCACGTGGACACATAACTAGGTACAAACACGTCATAGAAGGCTGTTGAGGCACATGCTGTTCGCAAGCACCTAGGAAGGCTCACACGACAAATGAGTGGGTGGGTGGCGAGCACCATACCAGATCACCTTTGCCTCTCGAGTGCCGATGTTTACACATCACACCAGGTACTCATTTGAGGCTTTGTCGACCTAGGGGAGGTCCAGGACTGGTTCATATGATCGTCGCTGGTGTTGGCAGTGAGCAGGAATCGAACTCGGGTCACTGGGTTCATAGCGCACTGCACTCACCACGACACTACCGCTCCCCACTCCCAACACACACACATCACTCACCACATCACTCCCCCACATCTCAACCTTCACATCACACACAACAGCTCTCATCACATCACTCCCCTCGCATCACACACACACACACCACCCATCACAGTACCCACCACCCAGGGACTGGCCGATGCCTCACCTTGCGTGTGATGCTGTGCACATAGGGGCACGTGTTGCAGGCGAAGCGGAAGCATTTCTGCCCCTCCTCCACCACGAGCACGTTCCCACACGTCGGGCAGAACAACAGCATCGCTCCCCCTCCTCGCAGCAGAGCTCACGGAGCCTGGGGACTGAACACGCAGACCCGCAGTCAAACCCACACCCTGTACAAATCCTAAACAAGCAGTCCTCAACCTGTGGGTCACGCTCCCACCCTGTCTTCCGGGGGTGGGGGAGTTACAGGCTGCAGAATGGATACCGTGCAGGAGATATTTCGAGCGTGCAAGGGGTAACATCAGTGCCACGTTTGGGCAGCAACGCACACCACTAATGCGCAACATGAAACAAACGCCGCATTAACACCACGTTGACTAGAGAGGCGTGGACATGTGATCTGAGGAGAACGAGGGGGTCCCAGGGCACTCTTTGGGAGGGGTGGCCGTCATACCAAACATGTTGGGAACCATAACCGTAGCCCAGGGGTCGGCAATCTGCGGCTCCGGAGGTCTTTAACAGGTCCCTGCAGGGTGGGCTGGTAGGACAAGTCTCTGCGCTGTCTATTGCTGATTTTACACCCAACAGCACGAGATTTCACTTCGTTAAAGTATTGAAAGGGGACGGACGGACACATTAATCTATTGCAGGCTGGTACACTCAGTTTACAACTTCGTTCCTACCAGTAAAAGACTACTTCGTGACGCGATTGATGGACCCACCGTCTCGAATTCGCCACGTGACATTGCGGCTCTTGAAATATCGTTTTGTTTTTACCGAATTCGAAAAAAAATTCCCTTGTTTTGGTTTGCCGGTCCCTGGCCTAGCCGCATTGTGTCAAGCAGCCAGGCGTAACATTTACAAGAAAACCCCGGGATCGGATCCTAGGCCGTTGGATCTCAACAACCAATCGAACACAAAATCAAACGCTTTGTGTCTCGATAAAATATCCCCAGAGGCAATGCTATAAAGTAAATATTAATTATTACACCACCCACCCATCTGACTCTCATCCGTTTCTCAAGGCCAATCGACCATGTTTTTTTCTCCCTCTTAATGAGAAAAAAACAGTCTTATATATTCATCAGCATGTATTTTTGTACATGCTCACTGATGGCGCGACAACAACGTACAGGTAGTCCCCGACTTACGATGGTCCGACTTACGATATTTTCGACTTACGTTGGGGTCGTCGTAACGCATCTCCATCGTAAGTCGGGGACTACCTGTATAGAGAATATCCGTTCTTTTTTTGACGCTGCCTGGCAGCGGTGCACAAGCACAACAAAACCTCGAAACATTCGGCAATAACACCGTGACTTTACAAGGGTAAAATATATAACAGGCGACGTTTCGGCAACGGCCCTTCTTCCATATAAACCACGTACTGTCATATGCTATTAAAAAGGCCCCATTATCAACCGTCGGCGATTAGTGGCGGCGTGAGTGGGTGCAGTCCATCATCATCATCTTCGTCAGCTATGATCACTCCACTGCTGAATGATCGCCTCCCAAATCCGTGGGCGCGAAATGTTGACTACCTCGCCTGTTACGCGGGAGGTCGTGGGTTCGATCCCGACGCCTGCTGCTGTATATTTGGAGTGTGCGTGTCTCTCTCTCTCTTCCCCCCCCGCCACCGTGGTCGCGTGGATTTTTCTCCTGGTTCCTTCCCTCCACATTTAGAATCAACGTGCATGTTGACTACCGCTCTAAATGCTCACACGATGATAATCCACTTGGTTGGGCTATCATTTGTGATAGCCAGGTCGCTTCTAAAAAAAACAAAAGACCCTACTACACCGTGGGTTCGTACGAGTTGATGATTGCACTCAAGTTTTTTGTGAAAAACACAAAGCCTGGAATCAAACCCGGACACATGAGTCTCTGTGGGCATTTCATTTCTTTTCATTTCTGGCGGCAATTTTTTTTGTTGTCGATTAAAATCGTAAATTTGGCGCCGAATTCTCTACGCGAAACCCCCACCCCTCACCCCCACCGTGCTCGTAATAATTTCGGCGAGGTAAACGCCACAACTTTAAATTCACCACCCCCTAGCGAAACGTAAAATATTAATTACTGTACAAATATTGCACTCCTTACTGTACCTCGCCGCGTCGAACTGTACGAGCCGACCACGTGGCCGGGGCGAGGCGCCCCTCCCCCCTCATTAACATTCCTCGCGCGTGATTGGCTGATAGCGGCGGGGGAGGGCGCGGTGGGAGGGGTGGTCACGTTGCCGTGGACCAACCAATCACGAGGAGCCGCGTATTTAAGGTACAGTGCGACCAGTGCGGAGTGGCACGACTCTCTCCACTGCTGGATGAGTGCCGCGCCGATCGTGGTGGCTCGGGGTGGTGGTGGCGGCGCGACCATACTTCACCGCGCTGGTCAATGCGGGTCGATGTGAACGAGGGGAGAAGAGACGTGGGAGCGTACACAATACGTTTATAGGACAAACATTGTCAATGTGAGTCACTCTCGCAAATGAGACTCATCCCCAGGTCTCTGGAGCTGCTTACATGGTAACACAAATACACTTGGAACTTGAGTTTGGGAGTCCTGGTTGCTTGAGTTGAAGAGTCCTGTGGGTTCTTGAGTTTGTGAGTCCTGGATGCTTGAATTTGTGAATCCTGGGTTTCAGTCCTGGGTGCTTGAATTTGTGAATCCTGGGTTCTTGAATTTGTGAGTCATGGGTTTGAGCCCTGGGTACTTAAATTTGTGAATCCTGGGTTTGATTCCTGGGTTGTTGAGTTTATGAGTCCTGGGTTCTTGAATTTGTGGATACTGGGTTCTTGAGTTTGTAGATCGTGGGTTTTTGAGTTTGTGAATCTTGGGTTCTTGAATTTGTGAGTTCTGAGTTTGAGTCCTGGGTTATTGGGTTTGTTGAGTCCTGGGTTTTTAATCCTGGGTAGGGTTGCTAAGTTGAGGTCCCAGGTTTTTGGTTCGCGGCCCAATTCTCCTGTCCCTTCTCACAGAGTGGAACTTCTCCCCCGCTCGTGAAATGGAGACCAAAGTGGAGACCAACGTGGAGACCAGTGTGGACACCAACCTGGAGACCAACGTGGACACCAACGTGGAGACCAAGGCGGAGGAGACCAGGGATGAGACTCGGGGAGGAGAGACTGGAGGTCGCGGAGACTATGAAGAGGAGCGACGAGGTGATGGGGATGGAGGTGAAGTTTCATGATATAATAGTGTTAATACGCTTGATGATGGTAAAGGCAGTGATGCTGAATTTATGAAGGATGGTATTGATGGTTATGGTGATTGTTAACAGCAACATCAGTGATATTAATTGCAGTCCTTTGTCAGTCCATGCCATGTCGCTCACGGAGGTTGTTTGGCCATACTTCACGCTGGGTGATGCAGGTTGGTGAAGGGGATTGGCCCAGGACTGATGCAGATGTCACTCGCTACTGATATGAACCGTGGTCGGTAATTAATCGTGTGGTGCGCTAATCATGGCACCACCACTCCACCAGTCTATGGTCATAGCTGTGGGCAGTTGGTGTGGATGATTGTGGTGATAATGATTAAGGTTGCGGTGATGGTGGCGATTGTAACACAATTTTTGTTCCTGGGGTACTAAGTGTTATTTTTTTTTATTGTTTATGCCTAAAAAGTATAGAAAATGACGATTCCACACAAACTTTGCTTTTGTGACCAGGACTTTATGTGAACGAAAGACGCAAATGCACACCACGTTTTCTCATTGAAAATAGGTCAATTTTAAAATATCACTATCCTGTTCTTGGGTCTTTCGGTAAAGTCACGTAGATAGGTTCAAAGAAAATAACAAAAAAATTACAAAAAAAACTACGACGTTTCGATCGAAACACAAGCGGTCGTCTTCAGGAAAAGACGACCGCTATGTATGTAACTTTTTCCGAAAGACCCAATAATATGGATTCCTGCAGTCACGAAAGCTTTAAGTCAAGATTTGTCACTGTCCTGGTCACAAAAGCAAAGTTTGTGGGGAATAATAATAGCCATTTTCTGTACTTTTGAGGCATAAGCAATTAGGAAATAACACTTACTAGCCAGGAACAAAAACAGTTTTTTGTTACACAGTGTTAAATCAATGACGGTTATATTTGTGTATTTGATGTTGACGTTTCCTTTGATGAAGAAGCTGCTGGTGGCAAAGTTCATGAAGATGCCAAACGAGACCGTGATGAGGAGGAGAATGATGACGATGATGACGAGGAGGATGAGGAGGAGGACGATGACGAGGAGGACGAGGAGAAAATGAGCCACACGCAGTTCCTCGATGTCTTCCAGGAGGGCATGGCCAGGATCCTCCAGGACCCCCTGCTGTGCGACCTCCCCGTGGGGGTCAGTGGGGCGGGGGGGTGTGGGAGGTGGGAGGAGGTAGAGCGGTGGCACAGCGGTTCGAGCGCTGCGCTACAAACCTGAGTTCGATTTCCGCGCGCAGCCAACATTGGTGACGAATATCTGAACCTGTCGGTCCTGGGCCTCCCCTAGGTCGACTCAGCCTCAAATGAGTACCCGGTGCAGTATGTAAACATCGCCACTGAGGAGAGAAAGGCAGGCCGGGAGTGGTGCTGGACACCCACCCCCTCGTGTGCCATTCTGGGCTTCATAGGTGCTTGCTAATGGCGCTTACCCCAACAGTCTGTTAAGGCTATACGGGGAATCTTTGTCTTTGGAGATGGTAGAGTAATGTTTCTCCATCGTCATCGTCACCATAGCCTATGACCTCATCACTTATAATGCACCCCATCTGGTCAAATCTGAGAAGCCAACCAGGATTGAACATGAATAGTGTGTAGGAATGAATGAGCCTCTTTTCACACATCTCTACATGAAAAATAAAGTGTTTTTTTTTCTTTACATATTCCCGGCCTTCTGGAAGCGCATAATTTCGGCAACATTGATTCAACGTGAGTGGACCGGTTTCATTAGCAGAGTCAGGCGTGTTTGAATCTGTGCTGGAGGACTACCAGATTGTGTAAAGGCATGTACCCTCTCTGTTAGATATTGGTCCTAGTTTGATGCAAAACGTGTGGTTTGGCAATCACCATGCACACAGAGGTTGTTATAGTGCAGCACGATCTATTGTACTCTGCTTCAATGCTCCCACGTCTGTACTACTTGTCTTAAATCCACACTGACCAACACGGTAATGTTTGGTCAATCAACTCCCACGACCCGTATAGCGTAGGCAGGCTGTCATTTAGCAGTGGATGTACAGAGTGGTCGAGATGTCTTGTGACGCCCCGAATTTATTGACCTAACAGTTTGTCCCCTTCGCTTATTTATTTGTGTTTTAAATAAACCTTACTTATTTATTTCAGATGGCTGATACGAGTTCGTATACTATTGAAGAACGGCTTGTAGTGAGCATATGGGCGCATGAAAGATCACACACCAGAAAAACTATGAGAGATGTCCGAAAGGATTTTTGTGAAAGATTTAACAAAGAAGCTCCACCAAAATGGACAATACTGAGGTGGGAGCATAAGCTGTTTTCCACAGGATCGATATTGGACAAAACAAGGACTGGGAGACCTTCTACGCGAAAGGAGAAATGCGCAGCAGTTGCCCAATCGGTCGAGAGCTCGCCCAAAAAGTCACTCCGAAAAAGAGCATCCGAACTTGGCATTCCAAAAACCACACTGTTGAGGCACATGAAAGATGATCTTAAATTGAAATCTTTCAAGCCTACGCTTGTCAACGAGCTAAGTGTTGCGGACTTACAAAAAAGGAGCGAAGCTTGTGGCCAGTTTCGTGAAGTTTTTGAGACACTCCCACAACGTGGTAAGGTTTCTTGTTTTCAGACGAATGTGCAATTTATCGCAGTGCACGTAATAGAAATGTTGCAAATTTTTGGAGTAAGGTTAATCCACATTATTACGAACGGTAAAAATATAATCCCCACCACATGTTATGATGTGGGTGGCGATATCAAGCAAACATTTGTATGGTCCTTATTTTTTTGATGGTTCTGTTAACCAACATTTGTATCTAACCATGTTGAAGGATTGGTTTGTTTCGCCGTTTGAACGTTTAAATCTTCTTGGGCTTGTTTGCCTTCAACAGGATGGGGCACCTGGCCACTACGCAATCTCTGTTCGAAAATTCCTAAATTAATTTTTTTGGGGATAATTGGATGGGCCAGAGGCTCGATAAATTTTACACCACCACTTAATTGCCCTCCGAGGAGTTCTGGTCTCCTCCTGTGATAGCTCACCATGGGGATGTATCAAAGGATGTGTCTCAAAAGAAAGGTACAGGACAACAGAAGATTGGAAAGATGCTCTAAAGAATAATAAACATTTTCTCAAGTGGACCTGGCAATTTTGCCTAAAATGTCTCGTAGGAAATGCCGCCGAAGGATGCTGTGCAAAGTCTATGCTGGTTCTCGGATAGACTTACTGGACCCTTAACAAGGACATTATTAATATTGACAATGATGATGATATGTAATAAAGTTATATATTGCTAACATTGCATTACACATCCATTGGTATGGAAAAAATATTCAGTTTTCGAGAATTAAATGGGGGTCACAAGACGTCTGGACCACCCTGTACATCGTCTTCCGCGTTGTCATCGTCATAAAATAGTTCACAACGGCATGGACCCAACATCCCAGTCCAGGGTCCTCAATATTTTTCATCAATTGGGGGGGGGCGGGGCATGGGGGGGGGGGCGAAGAGACGATGAGTCGGAATTCCCAGGGCGGAGCAATGCGAGGGAAGAAGCAGAAGAGGAGTGTTGCGAACTGCGGTAGTGGCAGTTGGACGCGGTGTGGATGTGCCAACGCGGCAACAGTATTCTGACAAAGCAGAGAGACGGTGACCGCGCCTGCTGTTGCCGTCGTGCGCAGGTGACGCTGGAGGAGATTCGGTCCCAGATCGCCCTGGAGCACGGCCGCGCCATGACGGTGCGGGTCGTGCGCGGAGACGGCGATATCCTGCGTAAGGAGCCAACGCTCAGCTGTGCGATGCTGGTGATGATGTTGGTAGCAATAAAAATGATGGTGGTGGTGGTGTTGTTGATAATGACTATGGTTGTGGCGATGATGGCAGTGGTGGCGATATTGTTTGTGGTAATAATGATGGTTGGTGATGGTGTCGATGATTGTGATGGTGGTGGTAATAATAATGATAGTGGTGGTGTTTGTGGTAATGATGAGGGTGGTGGTGATGATGACGATGATGATGTGTGTGGTGCAGCGGTCGTCGTGCAGCAGGATGCGTCGGTGCTCGACCTGAAAAAGGCGCTGCGGCGCCACATGCAGCTGAAGATGGAGCGCGAGTCTCGAACGCGCCTTGTCAGCTGGTGCGTCCCCACTCGTGCATTCTTTTTGTCATCGTCAGCCGTGATCTGTCCGCTTCTGGATGACATTAACTCTTTTATCTGCCATTCCATTGTTAGCCTCGGCCACCGGCCGTCGTCGATTTCGGCGACGACGTGTCCTGCCCACTTCGCCTGATTTTAATCGTCGACGTGATGTCTATTACTTGTGTGTCTTTGACTCATGCCTTCATCTTCCTTACCCTTGCTACAATCTAAAGCATTCACCTCGGCATGCTTCTTTGGAAAAATGTTCAGCTTGCTATATATCACAGAGGATTGAAATCTTTCTTTACATTAGGCATATATAAACATGCTTTTAAATATACAAAGACTCCCGTAGAGTTGCACGAACTCGTACCGTATACACACTCGCATGAGGCATGTTTATTTTGTGACGCACACACATTAGGAGTGCAATTCATTGCCCAGCCAGCACTTCTGCAGAACATGCGAGTGCGTATGTTTGCTTGGGGAGCGGTGATACAGTCAGTGCACAGCGCTACGAATATCTGAACCCTAACACGCCTGTATTATTGACGGAAAGGGTAAAGCCTATTCTTTTTCATATTTTTTTCTCATCATCTGAACCAGTCTTGGGCCTCCCCTAGGTAGACTCGGCCTTAAATGACTACCAGGTGCAGCGCGTAAACATCAGCATTGGGGAAACGAAGGCAGCTAGGCGTTGAGCTGGCCACCCAAACCCTCGTGTAACCTGCAGGCTTTCATGGGTGCTCACGAACAGTCCGTTAAGGCTCTACGGGGGATCTTTGTCTGTGCGCAGGAGGTACGTGTGGAGGACCTACCACCTGGTGTTTGAGGGGCACCAGCTGCTCGATGATTCCAAGCTGCTCAAGGAGTGAGTTTCGGCATCCACCTCGCGTCCACCCACTGGGGGTGATGATGACGACGACAGCCCTCCCACGCCCCCACCCTCTTCACGCGATCCCTCGCTGCTCTCGGCATCGCTTCGGATACCGATTTTGGTGGAAATTCTACATTCCTATGGTTGGGCCGTCCTCTCTTTGGTAGAGCCACTTGATTTCCCATAAAGTGACTACTCATTTTGCGGACCCAAGACCAATTTGTTGATGATAATGATGACGATTATTGGCTGCCTCGAGTCCTGACCGGAAGTGCAAGTCTCGAGATCTCTGACCACGGTTGCATCTCCAATTAAATGAACGTCTCCTGTCGCCACAGCTACGGCATCCGGAACCGCGACGAGGTGACCTTCGGCAAGACGCTGCGCAAACGGTAGCCGACCATCGCCGACCCAAGTCGCCGGGTCTGACACCGCGGCATCTTGGTGTTGACGTTTGTCGCCGCTGCGATGTCTCTGGAGGAGACCGGGAACTCAAAGGGAAAGGGGAACTGGTGACCCTGGGAGGAGATCGGATACCGATAACCTTTATTTCATACCATCTGAGAACCTATTTGAGAACGAGATATTTGTTTCAGGGGAGGTCAAGGAACCTGGGAGGAATCCGTAGGCCCTGAGATGAGCTCATGGAGATCAGGGCTGTATTATTGAGCAGATGGGGACCCAGGGCAGAGTACACGGTTGAGACCAGCAGTCCGGGAAAATCTGGGAGATCAGGGATACCCAGGAGAAGGCTGAGACCGAGAGAGAGAATATCGAGGCCCTAGAGGAAAAAGGCCCCTTACCCAATATTTCAATTTGTCGGCGAACACGCGTCTAACCAGGCCACCCACAGGTGGAATGGTTTATTTTTACAGTTGTGTTATTGTTCACGTCGGATTTTATGTTTAAGTTCTGGTTGTTGCGACTACGGCATTTTAAGATGGTAATTGCGATGGCGTTTTCTGCTGGCGTGAAGTAAAGAAATAAAATTTCCCCCCGCTTCCCTGAGACATTTGAGTGGCGTGTGAATGTTTCATGTTCTCAGTACAGCCACCAACGACCTAGAAACCCACCCCCCCCCCCCCCCATCGAATACAATAGATTTGGTTTTGCGTTTCATTCCATTGATCCTGCCCTGTGAGATCATTCGACACAGAAAGGTCAACAAATCTACCGGTTGTGCCAAGTGGAGTGGGTGGCATTGTGGTAAGCACAGTGAGTGCTCTCTGAACCCCAACTGCTCGAGTTTGATTCTCGCCGAACAGCTACAACAAAAACATTCGGAGCAGCAGGGCTTTAATTTGTCCTCGTAGCGCGCTTTACCACGTGGTGGCGCTGTGGCTCAAGCGCCGCGGTTCGCAGCCTAAAAAAAAGTGCTTAATGCTGTGAAGGGTCATTGCCTGAAACGTCGCCTGTTATATAATTTTAAAGGCAACAGTGTTCATGACGAACTCGTTGACTTTATTTGAATAGCTCTGCTTGTGCATCACTGGCAACACGGCATCACCAAATCGTCTGAGGTTAGGGCTGGGTTATGAACAGGTTATGGGTTGGGTTTGGCTTGTAGTTTGTGATTGGGTTGTAGGTATGGTAATGGTTGAAATGATCGTTCGGATGATGATTAGATGTGTGGTGAGGTTTAGGATTTACTTGAAGGTAATCGAAGTGTAAATATGTGTAAAATAGGGATTTGGAATTATACAGTTAATTCGACAAGGTGTATTTCTTGGGAGTGGGTAGGATATGGGATACGGTTAGGATCCGCGTTAGGGTTATTGTTTGGATTGGGGTGTTTGTGTTGGGTGTAGGGGTAGGTATAGGGTGTAGGGCTAGTGCTGAGTGTAGGGCTAGTGCTGAGTGTAGGGCTAGTGTTTGTGTGTAGGGCTAGTGCTGAGTGTAGGGCTAGTGTTTGTGTGTAGGGCTAGTGCTGAGTGTAGGGCTAGTGCTGAGTGTAGGGCTAGTATTTGTGTGTAGGGCTAGTGCTGAGTGTAGGGCTAGTGTTTGTGTGTAGGGCTAGTGCTGAGTGTAGGACTAGTGCTGAGTGTATGGCTAGTGCTGAGTGTGGGGCTAGTGCTGAGTGTAGGGCTAGTGCTGAGTGTAGGGTTAGTGCTGAGTGTAGGGCTAGTGTTTGTGTGTAGGGCTAGTGCTGAGTGTAGGGCTAGTGCTGAGTGTAGGGCTAGTGCTGAGTGTAGGGCTAGTGCTGAGTGTGGGGCTAGTGCTGAGTGTAGGGCTAGTGCTGAGTGTAGGGCTAGTGCTGTGTGTAGGGCTAGTGCTGAGTGTAGGGCTAGTGCTGAGTGTAGGACTAGTGCTGAGTGTAGGGCTAGTGCTGAGTGTAGGGCTAGTGCTGAGTGTAGGGCCAGTGCTGAGTGTAGGGCTAGTGCTGAGTGTAGGGCTAGTGTTTGTGTGTAGTGCTAGTGCTGAGTGTAGGGATAGTGCTGAGTGTAGGACTAGTGTTTCTGTGTAGGGCTAGTGCTGAGTGTAGGGCTAGTGCTGAGTGTAGGGCTAGTGCTGAGTGTAGGGCTGGTGTTTGTATGTAGGGCTAGTGCTGAGTGTAGGGCTAGTGCTGAGTGTAGGGCTAGTGCTGAGTGTAGGGCTAGTGTTTGTGTGTAGGGCCAGTGCTGAGTGTAGGGCTAGTGCTGAGTGTAGGGCTAGTGCTGAGTGTAGGGCTAGTGCTGAGTGTAGGGCTAGTGTTTGTGTGTAGGGCCAGTGCTGAGTGTAGGGCTAGTGCTGAGTGTAGGGCTAGTGTTTGTGTGTAGGGCTAGTGCTGAGTGTAGGGCTAGTGCTGAGTGTAGGGCTAGTGTTTGTGTGTAGGGCTAGTGCTGAGTGTAGGGCTAGTGCTGAGTGTAGGGCTAGTGTTTGTGTGTAGGGCTAGTGCTGAGTGTAGGGCTAGTGCTGAGTGTAGGGCTAGTGTTTGTGTGTAGGGCTAGTGCTGAGTGTAGGGCTAGTGCTGAGTGTAGGGCTAGTGTTTGTGTGTAGGGCTAGTGCTGAGTGTAGGGCTAGTGCTGAGTGTAGGGCTAGTGCTGAGTGTAGGGCTAGTGTAGGACGTGCTGAGTGTAGGGCTAGTGCTGAGTGTTGGGCTAGTGTTTGTGTGTAGGGCTAGTGCTGAGTGTAGGGCTAGTGCTGAGTGTAGGGCTAGTGTTTGTGTGTAGGGCTAGTGCTGAGTGTAGGGCTAGCGCTGAGTGTAGGGCTAGTGTTTGTGTGTAGGGCTAGTGCTGAGTGTAGGGCTAGTGCTGAGTGTAGGGCTAGTGTTTGTGTGTAGGGCTAGTGCTGAGTGTAGGGCTAGTGCTGAGTGTAGGGCTAGTGCTGAGTGTAGGGTTAGTGTAGGACTAGTGCTGAGTGTAGGGTTAGTGCTGAGTGTAGGTCTAGTGTTTGTGTGTAGGGCTAGTGCTGAGTGTAGGGCTAGTGTTGGGTGTAGGGCTAGTGTTTGTGTGTAGGGCTAGTGCTGAGTGTAGGGCTAGTGTTTGTGTGTAGGGCTAGTGCTGAGTGTAGGGCTAGTGCTGAGTGTAGGGCTAGTGTTTGTGTGTAGGGCTAGTGCTGAGTGTAGGGCTAGTGCTGAGTGTAGGGCTAGTGTTTGTGTGTAGGGCTAGTGCTGAGTGTAGGGCTAGTGCTGAGTGTAGGGCTAGTGTTTGTGTGTAGGGCTAGTGCTGAGTGTAGGGCTAGTGCTGAGTGTAGGGCTAGTGATTGTGTGTAGGGCTAGTGCTGAGTGTAGGGCTAGTGCTGAGTGTAGGGCTAGTGTTTGTGTGTAGGGCTAGTGCTGAGTGTAGGGCTAGTGCTGAGTGTAGGGCTAGTGCTGAGTGTAGGGCTAGTGTTTGTGTGTAGGGCTAGTATTTGTGTGTAGGGCTAGTGCTAAGTGTAGGGCTAGTGCTGAGTGTAGGGCTAGTGCTGAGTGTAGGGCTAGTGCTGAGTGTAGGGCTAGTGTTTGTGTAGGGCTAGTGCTGAGTGTAGGGCTAGTGCTGAGTGTAGGGCTAGTGCTGAGTGTAGGGCTAGTGTTTGTGTAGGGCTAGTGCTGAATGTAGGGCTAGTGCTGAGTGTAGGGCTAGTGTTTGTGTAGGGCTAGTGCTGAGTGTAGGGCTAGTGCTGAGTGTAGGGCTAGTGCTGAGTGTAGGGCTAGTGCTAAGTGTAGGGCTAGTGCTGAGTGTAGGGCTAGTGCTGAGTGTAGGGCTAGTGCTGAGTGTAGGGCTAGTGTTTGAGTGTAGGGCTAGTGTTTGAGTGTAGGGCTAGTGTTTGTGTGTAGGGCCAGTGTTTGTGTTGGCTGTTGGCCCAGTGCTCGTGCTGGGTGCCGGGTGAGGAACAGCAGTGGCAGTGGCGCGCAGGGGGTGAGTTGGCCCGGCTCGGATTTCCGTCGCGCGCCCCGAGCGCTTTCATCTCTGCTCGTGCTGAAGCCATTAGCGCGCTGCCCCGTGACCTCAACGAATCGATGGGGTTTTAATTCAATTTTATTTACGTGTACATCAGTACATACTCGCCCTGGCAGCTGTGAAAATACAAATAGATATGTTACGCCTGTGTAAGCTTTTTACGCGCGTTCGGCTTTTGGTGAAAGCCATATTTGGGACCCAAATCAATCGACCGCGATCAGCCCTTAGTGGTTCGAAACAAAATATTACATAGTACCGTACCACTTTGTTGAAATCCGCCTTCTTCACATGTGAATAGACCGGCGTCGGTCATAGGAATGTGGAATTTCCACCATTGGTTCAGGGTTGTTAGATCGCGCGGGGAGGCACTTTTGGCCTTGTTGCGAGGATTTAATGACAAACAACCGTGGAGATGGCAAACCTGTCAACCCCTTATCAGTGCCCTGCCTTATTACAGACCAATTCAGACATTATTGGTCACCCAGTGCCCTTATAGATCTCAACGTTCATCCTTCAAAGTCCCTTCGCAATGGAGAAACACAAACAAGTAGACAAAAACAGGTTTTTTTTTTTGCCCGCATGAAAACGGCTGTACTCAGTATGGACCTGAAAACTCAATTTACCTGTACGAGAATACGGGGGTTAAATCGTATGGGATGACAGCTATGCGATGGAGCAATGCAATCAGCTGGTGTGCAGGAGCTGAATGGGTTGTTACAGTCGCAAGAGTGCGAGAGATGGCAACGGCTTTTGGGAGGCCTTCATCCAGCAGTTGATCGAGCGCGGATGATTATGATGATGATGGCGACGACAATGGATATTAATTTTAAATCGCTATCTAGAACGAGCCTCTCAGAGTCTCGACACAATCTTTTCAGGAGGGTCTTGCTGAGAATATTTGGCCCAAGTATCGGAACTCATCCACAAAACCTACTTTTGCTGGACTGCCTGCTGCAGTAGGCGCGCTGCGCCAAGGCCCCTGAATCCAAGTTCAATTCCTGCTCACGACCAAATAACAGTGGCGAATATTTTCAACCTATGGTCCTGAGACCCCCCCCCCCTCTAGGTCGACTCAGCCTTAAATATGTACCCAGTACGGTGTGTAAACAACAGTGCTGGGGAGACAAAGGCGGCCGGGACGTTGATAATTTCCACCCACCCCATTTTCTTCCGTGCCATCCTTCATAGGTGCTTGCTATAAGAGCACTGGTCCCAACAGTCTATACGGGGGATCTTTGGTTTTGTGATGATATTTGCGTGTTAAGTGCGTAACGGTGTATGGAAGCTACCTGGCCCATCGGTCCATGCTAAGCTTCGGGTTTTTTCGGCCACAGTTAAGCCTCTCTTATCTTCTGCGTGCTTGCGAAACGCGGACCCATTTACAGAACGGACGTCTGAGCAGGCTTGAAACATTCAGGTAGGCCTTGTCTACATTCCATCCTGGGTTTAATCAGACTGGATTGTGTGAGGAGCTCACAAATCCTTGAGCGATCTGGACACAGTCCCATCGGTGAGCTCCTCCGGCGGGCAATGCTGCGTTGGCTGGGTCACGGAGCCCGCATGTCTAGCCACCGCATGCCCAGCCACCGCGTGCCCAGCCACCGCGTGCCCAGCCACCGCATGCCCAGCCACCGCATGTCCAGCCACCGCATGCCCAATCAGCTTCTGTTAGGCCGGTTAGAGGTGGCTAAAAACGTACGCCGCACGGGCTGCAGAAGAGATTGACCGATGCCGTACGGGAGGATGTGGAGCTGAGTGGACTTGCCGATGACTGGTACCAGCGGTGTCAAGATCGGCCTCCGTGGAGGAGGCTCGTGAAGGACGCTGCTACCGGGCAGTTGGAGGCAGTCGCCCTCCAGCAACAACGGAGGAGCGACGCTCACAACAGCGAGCGGAGCGCCGGGCGAATAAAACGCAGAAAGTTGGCACAGTAGCATAGCTGATGGATCTACCAGTCGTCTCAGTCAGTCGACCCATGACACCTGGGTCTGTGCCGTGACCTCCTGTCAGCGGCGTGCCTTGGACACTTCACGTGGCCTCAATGTGCACCTCGCCTGGTGAACACTGTTGTTCAGCGTCTGTGTGTGTGTGTGGGGGTCTATGTGTGTGTGTGTATGTCTGTGTGTGTGTGTCTGTGTGTGTGTGTCTGTGTCTCTGTGTGTGTGTGGGTCTCTGTGTATGTGTGTCTCTGTGTGTATGTGGGTCTCTGTGTCTGTGTGTGTGGGTCTCTGTGTGTGGGTCCGTGTGTGTGTGTGGGTCTCTGTGTGTGGGTCTCTGTGTCTGTGTGGGTCTCTGTGTGTGTGTGTGAGTCTGTGTGGGTGTGTGGGTCTGTGTGTGTGTGGGTCTGTGTGTGTGTCTCTGTGTTTGTGTGGGTCTCTGTGTGTGGGTCTCTGTGTGTGTGGGTCTATGTGTGTGTTTGGGTTTCTGTGTGTGTGTCTCTCAGTGCGTGGGGGGGGTATTTCTGTGCGTGGGGGGGGGTCTCTGTGTGTGTGTGGGTGTGTGGATCTGTGTGTGTGTGGGTCTCTGTGTCTGTGTGGGTCTCTGTGTCTGTGTGGGTCTCTGTGTGTGTGTGAGTCTGTGTGGGTGTGTGGGTCTGTGTGTGGGTCTGTGTGTGGGTCTATGTGTGTGTGTGGGTTTCTGTGTGTGTGTGTCTCTCAGTGCGTGGGGGGGGGGTATTTCTGTGCGTGGGGGGGGGGGTCTCTGTGTGTGTGTGGGTGTGTGGATCTGTGTGTGTGTGGGTCTCTGTGTGTGGGTCTCTGTGTGTGTGTGGGTCTCTCTGTGCGTGGGGGGGGGGGGGGGTCTCTGTGTGTGTGGGTCTCTGTGTGTGTGGGTCTCTGTGTGTGTGTGTGTGGGTCTCGCTGTGCGTTGGGGGGGGGGGTCTCTGTGTGTGTGGGTCTCTGTGTGTGTGGGTCTCTGTGTGTGTGTGCGGGTCTCTGTGTGTGTGTGGGTCTCGCTGTACGTTGGGGGGCGGTCTCTGTGTGTGTGGGTCTGTGTTGTTGTTGTTTTGGGGGAGCGGTAGTGTAGTGGTTAGCGCTACGCTGCGCTACAAATCCGGCTTCCCTGGTTCGATTCCCGCTCACGGCCAACAACACCGGTGACGATTATCTAAACCGGTCCTGGGCCTCCCCTAGATCGACCCAGCCTCAAATGAGTACCCGGTGGCGGTGTGTAAACATCGCCACTGGGGGAGACAAAGGCGGCTGGGGGCGTCGTGTTGGCGATCCACCCTCTCGTGCGCCGTGCCGGCCTTTATAGGTGCTGCTCGCTAACAGCACTTGCCCCTACGGTCTGTTACAGGCTACACGGGAGATCTTTGTCGTTAGGGCGAGCGTTACGGTAACGCGCATTCCCACCCCACCCCCCCGTGGGCATCGTACGGAGGGGGGGGGGTTGAGTGCGCCTCTGCGCGGCACACTACGGCCGCTCCACGTCCTCGCAGAAACAATGGAAGAAGCGTCGCGCGCATCCTCATCACTACTCGCACGACCACCACCATCAGCAGCAGCAACATCATCAGCAGCAGCAACAACAGCAGCAGCAACAACAACAGCAGCAACATCAGCAGCAGCAACAACATCAGCAGCAGCAGCGGGTCTGGAGAGCCATCGGACATCTCCGATTCGTCTGTAAGAGCAGCAACGGCACTCGCGCGTTTGTGTGTGAGTGGTGCGGTGTGAGTGGTGTGTGTGAGTGTGTGGTGTGTGAGTGGTGTGTGTGAGTAGTCTGTGTGTGGTGTGTGTGTGAGTGGTGCGGTGTGTGTGAGTGGTGTGTGTGAGTGGTGCGGTGTGAGTGGTGCGGTGTGAGTGGTGCGGTGTGAGTGGTGTGTGTGAGTGGTGTGTGTGAGTGGTGTGGGTGAGTGTGTGGTGTGTGTGAGTGGTGCGGTGTGAGTGGTGTGTGTGAGTGGTGTGTGTGAGTGAGTGGTGTGTGAGTGGTGCGTGAGTGGTGCGGTGTGAGTGGTGTGTGAGTGGTGCGGTGTGAGTGGTGCGGTGTGAGTGGTGTGTGTGAGTGGTGTGGGTGAGTGTGTGGTGTGTGTGAGTGGTGCGGTGTGAGTGGTGTGTGTGAGTGGTGTGTGTGAGTGAGTGGTGTGTGAGTGGTGCGTGAGTGGTGCGGTGTGAGTGGTGTGTGAGTGGTGCGGTGTGTGTGTGCGGGTGGTGTGTGTGAGTGGTGTGTGTGAGTAGTCTGTGTGTGGTGTGTGTGTGAGTGGTGCGGTGTGTGTGAGTAGTCTGTGTGTGTGAGTGGTGCGGTGTGTGAGCGAGTTAGTGCAGCATGGCTCAAGTGTGCTAGGTGTGTGCTAGGTGTGTGTTGAGTGTGTGCTAGGTGTGTGTTGAGTGTGTGCTAGGTGTGTATTGAGTGTGTGCTAGGTGTGTGTTGAGTGTGTGTTGTGTGTGTGCTAGGTGTGTGTGTTGATTGTGTGCTAGGTGTGTATTGAGTGTGTGTTGAGTGTGTGCTAGGTGTGTGTATTGAGTGTGTGCTAGGTGTGTGTTGAGTGTGTGTTGAGTGTGTGCTAGGTGTGTGTGTGAGGGCGAGTGTGTGTTAGTGAGTATTGGAATGCGTGTTGGCGTGTGACTACGTGTGTACCTGTGTGTGCTGGTTAATGGCTACTGTGTGTGTTGTGTGTGTTTTAGTGCTTGTTGGCGTCTTTTCGTGTGGATGTGTGCATCTCCGAGTACTGGCGCGTGTTGCTGTGCATTACGATTCGTGTTTTTGTACTATGCACTAGAGTAGTGCATAGTACAGTGGACTTAAGTGCAGTTGTCAATGTGATTGTGAGAGTGTGTGAGCAAGTGGGTTTGAGTGTGACTGTGTGTGAGCGAGTATGTGATTGTGTGAGTTTGGTGTGTTGTGACTGAGAGTGAGTGAGTGGGACTGTGTTGGTGTGACTGTGTGTGTGCGTATGACTGTGAGTGTGTTGGTGTGTGTGACTGTGTGAGTGTGATGGTGTGTGTGTGACTGTGAGTGTGATGGTGTGTGTGTGACTGTGAGTGTGATGATGTGTGTGTGACTGTGAGTGTGATGGTGTGTGTGTGACTGTGAGTGTGATGATGTGTGTGTGACTGTGTGAGACTGAGTGGAGGTGTGTGAGTGTGTGTGACTGTGTGAGTGTGTGTGAGTGTGTGTGTGACTGTGTGAGTGTGATGGTGTGTGTGTGACTGTGAGTGTGATGGTGTGTGTGTGACTGTGAGTGTGATGGTGGGTGTGAGTGCGATGGTGCGTGTGATGGTGTGTGAGTGTGTGATGGTGTGTGAGTGTGATTGTGTGTGAGTGTGATTGTGTGAGTGTGATTGTGTGAGTGGAGGTGTGTGATGGTGTGTGTGAGTATGTGTGACTGTGTGAGTGTGATGGTGTGTGTGTGTGAGTGCGATGGTGTGTGTGAGTGTGATGGTGTGTGTGAGTGTGATGGTGTGTGTGTGACTGTGTGAGTGTGATGGTGTGTGCGAGTGTGTGTGACTGTGTGAGTGTGATGGTGTGTTAGTGTGAGTGTGGTGGTGTGAGTGTGTGTGACTGTGTGAGTGGAGTGTGTGATGGTGTGTGACTGCGTGAGTGTGATGGTGTGTGTGTGTGACTGTGTGATGGTGTGTGTGATGGTGTGTGTGAGTGTATGATTGTTTGTTGGAGGAGGTGATGGTGGTGGTGGCGAAGCGATTTTACATAAAACCCGGCGTGTCACGTAGCAGAGAGAGAGAGGAGACGCGGGGTGGGGGTGCGGGGAGTGAATCGCTCACCTCCCTACTCACCCCCCCCGCTCACCCCCCCACTCACCCCCCACTCACCTCCCACTCACCCCCCCCGCTCACCCCCCACTCACCCCCCACTCACCTCCCACTCACCCCTCCGCTCACCCCCCACTCACCCCCCACTCACCCCCCACTCACTCACACCTCTCCCCACCACCCACTCACAGCGCGGAGCACAACGAGGAGGGAGGAGGAGGATGAAAGCCAAGACGACGATGGTGGTGGTGGTGGTGGCGGTGGTGCTGCTACTGATGGCGATGATGGCATTGCCCGATGAGTAGCAAGCGACCTGGAGCTCTCTCCGTCTCTCCGCAAAAACAAACGAATTTAACTCAAGAGCAGAATATTCTACGCTGCAATTGACATCTGCCTCATTTGTCGTGATTTAAAAAAATATATATTTAAAAAGTCTAGATTCGCGTGTTTAGTTCGTTCCCTTACCCCCACCCCGCCGCACCTCCGATTAGCACGGTTGGCATCGTACGGTGCGAACGAAGTTCAACGTACCACCCCCCCCCCCCCCCCCACACTGCACGCGGAGTCGAGGGGGGCCATGGTGGATATGGGCAGGAGGTGGTGCTTCGCGGTGCTGGGCACCGTGATAATGATGGCATCGTTTCTGCTGATGCTCGAACAACAGAGCGCGCTTAGCGCATCGGAGATGAGACCCCTCGTGATCACCACCTCGTCGGCATCAGCATCCTCGGCGGCAGCAGCGACAGGGAAATCAAACGTGGACCTGACATCGAGAGAACTTTTGCGCCGATGGCAAGGCAGGTCGAGAAGTGGCAGCAGCAGCAATCAAAACGGAATCAGTAGTCAACAAAACAACAGCAGAAGCAGTATCAGCAAGGTCCCGAATAGTCTCACGAAATTCTTCAGCACCGTGAGCGGTGGTGGAGGAGGTTCAAGGCATCTCAAGGCAGGGCTTGGACAACGCGAGGCTGCAATGATGCAGCAGCAGCAGCTGCTGCTGCAGGGACACCAACAACAACAACATCAGCAGCACGGATCGCTTGCAGGAGCTGCGTCGGACGACCTCCGGGACTACTCGCCCCTCGAGCAGCGAGATGGAGGAGGCGCAGGTGGATGGACGATGGGAGACGGTGGCGATGGTGGCGGTGGTGGTGGACACCACGAGGACACGCGGCCTCGGCGTGACCTGAAGTCCTCGGATATCTTCGTAGCGGTGAAGACGACGGGGAAGTTCCACGCCAGCCGGATGAGGCTGCTGCTACGCACCTGGGTGTCTCGCGCGAGGGAACAGGTGAGGGAGGGGGCGATACAGGTGTGGAGGGAGAGGCAGATGAGGATGGGGGTCACACGTGGACAGGTAGAAATGTGTGTACCTGCACAGGTGTGTGTGTACCTGCACAGGTGTGTGTACTTGTACAGGTGTGTGTGTACCTGCACAGGTGTGTGTGTACCTGCACAGGTGTGTGTACTTGTACAGGTGTGTGTACTTGCACAGGTGTGTGTGTACCTGCACAGGTGTGTGTACTTGTACAGGTGTGTGTGTACCTGCACAGGTGTGTGTGTACCTGCACAGGTGTGTGTGTACCTGCACAGGTGTGTGTGTGTGTGGGGAGCGGTAGTGTAAGGGTTAGCGCGCTGCGCTATGAACCCGACGACACGAGTTCGATTCCCCCTCACGTCCAATACCAGTGACGATTATCTGAACCGGTCGGTCCTGGACCTCCCCTAGGTCGACTCAGCCTCAAATGAGTACCTGGTGTGATGTCTAAACATAAAAAAAAAACACAAAGGCGGGCGGGCGTGGTGCTGGCCACTCACTCCATCGTGTGCCTTACCTGCCTTCATAGGTGTTCGCAAACAGCACTTGCCCCAAAAATCTGTTAAGGTTATACGGGGGGTCTTTGCCTGTGTGTGTGCCTGTAGATACAGGTGTGTGTGTGTATCTGTAGATATATGTGTACCTGTACAGGTGTGAGTATTCAGATATTATTGTATGTACCTGTATGTGCGTGTTTGTAGGGGTATTTGTGTGTTCACGGCACGTTTCTGAATATGTACATCCGTGGCTGCGTATCTGTACCGTACATGTGCATTGGTGTGCATGTGTGTGTATGTATGTTAAGCATAGATATAGGTTGTGTGTGTGCGTGCAAAAAGTGGGCTACTAGATCACTTGCCCCAAAAATCTGCCAAGGCTTCATGGGTGATCTTTGTATTTGTGTGTGCAATATGTATATGTGGGTATTTGTGGGTATATGTGGGTATATGTGGGTGTATGTGACCGTAGTGATGCGAGTGGGGAGCGGTGGTGCAGCGGTTAGCGCCAACACCGGTGACGATTATTTGATGAACCGGTCCCGAGTCTCACCTAGGTCGACTCGGCCTCAAATAAGTACCTGGTGCGGTGTGTAAACATCGCAACTGGGGAGACAAAGGCGGCCGGGCGTGGTGCTGGCCACCCACCCCGCCGTGTGCCGTGCCGGCCTTCGTAGGTGCTCCTCGCTAACAGCACTTGCCCCTACAGTCTTTACCAGGGATCTTTGGTTGTGTGATGACTCGCGTTGTTTTAATGTGTGCACGTGTCGCTATTTTAATCTGAGATGGCTCCCAAATATCACTTTTCGGAATTTATAATTCTGAAGAAGTCTTCCGAACGTCGCCGAGAATAACCTCCCCCCTCCTATCCAAGCCCCCCTCCCCTCACCTCTCTACCCAAGCCCCCTCCCCCCATCCGACCCCCCCCCTCTACCCGAGCCCCCCATCCGAGCCCCCCCCCTACCCGACCACCTCCATTCTAATTCGTGCTTTCCATCTGCTCCATTACCTTCCTCGTGCTCTCTCATCGTCGTAATTCGACCCTCGTCAAGGGGAGGGTGGTTGAGAGGGGGGTTCTTTTATAATCCATCCTAAATATGTTCTTCCATCTACTTCGGGCTTGCGTCTGGCAGAGATTGTGTGGCCTTTACATTTCCACCGTAGTCCACAACTTGTATTCGACATCCGTCGGTCTTTTATTTTACAAAACATTTTTACAGAATCAATTTGCCGGTACGTGTGCCATGCGCACGCGTGTGGCCCACGGTAGGAAAACTTATTTTTTAAATCTCTCTCCCGTCGACGGTTGCTTCCCTCTTGATTTAGTTTGTTGTCCTCCCCTTCCACCCGGTTGTCTTCGTGAACGATGCACAACACGTGCCATAAACCCAGTAAACATGGCAACGTCGGTGCAACGTTCGCGTGTGGTTGGAACAAGTGAGCCAACGTTGGACCAACGTTGGGTCAACGTTGGCCGGGAAGTGGCTAAATGGGTCCTGTGTTGTAGTCCTTCGAGGCGTGATTGCATCTTCGGGGAATTTTGTTCCTGCGCGTAAACATCCAGTACCCGGTCCACCGCCTCTTTGAGCCGACGGCTTCGTTGTATAAGTGCCCCCATGTGTGTTTGATTACGCACGTGTAGCTGTCGTGTGAGTGGTGCGCGTGTGTGATTATGCATTTTCCATGAGGCATACCGATCTTGCACCTCCCCCCCCTCTCCTCCCTCCCTGACGTTGGCATCTGCACGGGAACTGTTGAGCAAGCGGTGGCCCAACGTTAACAACGCTCCCCATGGGTTGTAACTAAGCGCGTGCGCCGTAAGAGAATTAAATGAATCCGCGACGGAGTGAATGATAAAAAAAAATTCACGTCGAAGGAATCCAATCGGCGTCAAATGGGCGGCCTAATGTGGGGGGGGGGGGGGGGCGCTTTTTCTTTCCACAAATCGTCTCTTTAGATCCAGAAACTGCGTGACGGGAATCACTTTAACGATTTAAAAATATATTCTAAATATCACAGCTATATGTTCGAGCATGGATCAAGCGTGGATCAAGCTTTGTAGCCTTAAAAATCGGTCGATTCTCCTGTGATCGAGCATCGGTTCGTTGAAAATCGTCAATTCCCGTTTAATAAATTCCTTATACGGGCAAAGCCATGCCAAATTACACCATATATGGGCCTACAACATTAAACATAATTTATTATTAATTCTGTCGCGGATTCATTTTATCTTGTTACAACGCACGTGTCATGCTCAAAAGCGTAAAAGCGCATAAAAGTGCACACATTTCCCAAACTGTGATGTCCACATCAGCGCCTGAAACAAACACCAATAAATCAGAGAGCAGGCCCAATGGCTGATTTGTCATCATTATCCGCCCAACACCCCTTTCAATGTTGGGCACACACTAATATATACCCCCCTGCCCTGTTCCTACCACACCCGACACGAAGATCTCTTCCCCGTATGTTACAAGCCAGCAAGCGAATCAATCGATTTCCCCATTCACTTGCAGCAGGTCATTTTGCCCGAATCTAGGCAAGGTCACGACCAGAAATGTCTAAGCGATTCCAATGCTGTACGGTACATACGTAGTAGGCATACATTGGGGTGGTGTGGGTGGCGGTGTCGTTTGCAAAACAATCATCAGCAAACGTAGTAGTAGTGGTGGTAGGCTTCCGCGACCAACGTTATCATTCGCGAATTGGCTCCTCTGAGATTTCGGGACGTGTGGGTGTGGACGTTCATGCTGAAGCTGTGCACCCACCACCGGCCCGACCACGGCCAAACCCATCAAAGTTTGTCCACGTCACGGGTAAAACGTGGCGAATAATTTGCTTATTTGGGTTTCGCTTTCAATTTTTGTTACGCTCGATTTGCAGAGCGACCGGGATTTTCTTTTTCTTTCTGAAAAGACAAAAATCGATGGGAAAACATTTGCCCCGCGACTTGGACAACTTGGATCTGTTTGGCTGTGTCGCGTGGTTGGAAGGTTCTGTCTTTCCGATTGGCTTTATACCCACACGACCATAACCACCCCCCCCCCCTTCAAAAAACTATCGTGAATCAGAATTCAGAATTGCCTGCGGTATAAACGCAACATGTCCCGGCGCCTCCAGTTAGCGCGGTCGGCTAGGTACGTGCGTTAAGCATTTACGTAATCTGGACCCGAAGAAAGAAATCATTGCGAGGCGGAGCAAAGATTTGACACTGTCGTTGTTTTTTGTTGTTTTTGTGGAGTCCTTTCTCCTCTCTCGCTCTGTCGCTCTTTCCCCACCGCGGAGTTTTTGGCACCACTTCCCCACGGGCAGCGGTTGTGGATTTTGCATCATAGCAGTTTAATTCTGGGCATGGAGAGACCGAGAGAGAGAGAGGAAAGAGAGAGAATGGAAGAGCTCGAGGAGATGATGAGGAAGAGAAGTGTGGACACAGGAGAGAGAGAGAGAGCGAGGAGAGAACTAGATGGGAGAGGCAGAGAAGACAGGAGGAGGGAGTGAGCTCAGAGAGAGAAAGAGAGAGGAGAGGGACGCTGGAAGAGGGGAAAGCGAGGAGAGAAGTATTTGGAGCGGTTGAGAGAGGAGATGAGAAATAGACGGGAGAGAGTGAATAGAGAAAGTGAAAGAGATTAAGAGAGGATTAGGAGAAGAGGCGGAAAAGAGAGAACGTGCTGAGAGGGCAGAGTCGGGGGAGAGAGATGTAGTGTGTGCTGAGGACTGCGTCGACAGTATCCATGGAGTTTTTGTTCAGTTCCTCACTCGGACGGATAGACACAAAAGCACATGCTCTCAACCCCGACACTCGCTCTCTCTGTCTCTCAACACACACACACCTGCAGACATCTTCTCTCACACACTCCCTCATACCCCTTCAAATACAAAGATCCCCCCGTGTAGCCTGTAACAGACTGCTGCGGCGAATGCTGTTAGCGAGCGGCACCTATGAAGGCCGCCACGGCTCACGAGGGGGTGGGTGGCCAGCACCAACGCCCGGCCGCCTTTGCCTCCCCAGTGGCGATGTTCACGACACACCGCACCAGGTACTCGTGTGAGGCTGAGTCGAACTCGGTGAGGCCCAGCACCGGTTCAGATAATCGTCACTTGGTGGAATCGAACTCGGGAGTCGCCGTGTTCGTAGCTGCAGCGCGCCAACCACGGTGCCACGGCTCCCCCATTTCTCTCACACTCCTCTCTCAGGCACTCGTTTACTCTCAACACTCTTTTGTTTAAGAGGAATCGGCCAAGCATCCCCAATGTCGCAGCAGCAGGAGCAGCAGCCTCCTGAAAAACGAGTCTCGAGACCAGGGCGAGGGGTTTCCTGAGTACACAAAAACGAATGGCATCATATTATTAATCTATTAAATTCTTGCGTACGACGGCATTTTATTCAGGAGCTAAATGCCAGATGTGGAGATCTGCTGCTGCTGGCTCCGACGAGAGGGCTTCAGTAGAGAGAGAGAGTTCGTGTCCTTTTGCTGT